TACAATCAGATCAGAGAGTTATAGATTAGTAAGTGCTCACACTTTTAATGTTTGCATGAACTGACTGGAATTAAAAATAATTTTAATAATTACATTCAGATCATTAACATTTCGGACGCTGGTATGGTAATACTAAATTCTATATGTGGTTGCCGTATGTTTGGTTTTTTTACGTTATTTTTCCGAAAAGTTACTTCGACTTTATTTATTTATTTTTGTTGGGTTGTAAAGTTAGTCGTAAATATTTTTTGGTCAAGTGAAAATGTAAAGGACATAATAAGTGAAAATGGGTTGCGTCTGGTATTTGATTTGGCGGAACAAAGAAAACATAGGACAAACAACACAATGTACAACACTCCCATATAGTTTAGGTCCTTAGTTCAAAGATAATAGCAGTTTCTTTGATTAAATGCACCTCAACAGTTATCGGTGTTAAACGCGTTACATTTGGCGTTATTTTTTTTTTACCTAGTTGTATAAATTATATGCGCTTTAAGAAGTAGCGTACGATTTGATGTAGGTGTTACACCTCATTTTTGGATTTGGCGTTTGAAGGGTTAACTTGTATTGAATCAGGTATTGGATCATACACATAAATGGTTGGCTTTGATTAACTTTTCATTTAGACCTGGCGTTTGAAGGGTTAAACTGTATTGAATCACGTATTCGATCTAACACATAACATAATCGATTCCTTCAGACGTGTCATTTGAAGGGTTAACTTGTATTAAATCAGGTATTTGATCTTGTACATAACATAATCGATTCCTTGAGAACTGGGATTTAAAGGGTTAACTTGTATTGAATCAAGTATTCGATACAGCACATAATATAATCGATTCCTTGAGACCTGGCATTTAAAGGGTTAACTTGTATTGAATCAGGTATTCGATCATACACAAAAATGGTTGGCTTTGATTAACTTTTCCTTTAGTCCTGGCATTGGAATAGTTCAACTGTATTGAAATAGGTATTCGATCTAACACATAACATAATCGATTCCTTCAGACATGTCATTTAAAGGGTTAACTTGTATTGAATCAAGTATTCGATCTAGCACATAACATAATCGATTCCTCCAGACCTGTTATTTAAAGGGTTAACTTGTATTGAATCAGGTAATCGATCTTGCACATAACATAATCGCTTCCCCCAGACCTGGCCTACGATTGGCTGAGGAGACACCTGTACTGGGCAGACCCCTCCTACCAGGCCATCTACCGTCTGGACATCTCCCACCTGTGTGAGGGCACCACCTGTCTTCCCTTCCCCTACCAGGACAGGCGGGGGTCAAGGCCGGACCAGCCTCGCCGGGGAATCCTGACCACTGTGATAGGGACGGGCTTGGCGGTGCCGTGTGACTTGATGGTGGACCCCTTACAAAGGTGAGTCTACGGGGTGTTGGGATCATTGGGGTGGTTGACCCCTTACAAAGGTTAGTCTAGGGGTGTTGGGATCACTGGGATGGTGGACCACTTTACAAAGGTGAGTCTAGGGGGTGTTGGGGGTCGCTGTGATTGGTTGACCCTTTACAAAGGTGAGTCTAGGGAATGTTGGGGTCGCTACGGGTGTTTGACCCCTTACAAAGGTGAGTCTAGGGGTGTTTTGACCCTTTTATGATGGACCCCAAACAATGATTAGCCTGGTGTTGTTGGGATCCCTTTGATGATCGACCCCATACAACGCTAATTCTTGGGGTGTTTTGATCCTTGTATTGTGGACCCAATACAAAGTTTAGTCTGGGGTCGTTGGGATCACTGGGATTGTTAGACCTCTTCAATGGTGAGTCCCTGAATCTTGGTGTGGGCTGATGTTTTTGTTTTTTATGCTATGCCCTGGCAAATGTTGATAGAATTGATATGTAAGAAATGGTTTGTCTGTTGTATGCAGAGGTATTGCGACCCCTCACGGCGCCCGGGACAAACTTTCAATTTGGCGCCCATCCCCCCCCCCCCCCACATATATTTTTTATGTTTATAATTCAAAACTGCAGCTAAAATGAGCTTTTAATCTTTTTCAAACCCATTTTGGCGCCCCTTGGGTCGGCGCCCGGGGATATATGTACCCCCCTTTCCGCCCCTGCCCCCCCCAACCCCCCCCCCTTCCCCTTCGCTACGCCTCTGGTTGTATGGCCTGCCCCAATCCATTCTGAGATTGTCTGATTTAGAACTAAGAAATGCCAGAGAAATTTCGCTAGGTACACCTGGGTCCACCCATTTCTAATATATTCTGTGACAGTAGAACATATTCATAGAACTGTCTACACTATATGCAGTCTACATTATATGCAGTCTACACTATATGCAGTCTACACTATATGCAGTCTACACTATATGCAGTCTACACTATATGCAGTCTACACTATATGCAGTCTACACTATATGCAGTCTACATTATATGCAGTCTACACTAGATACAGTCTACACTATGTGCAGTCTACACTATGTGCAGTCTACACTATATGCAGTCTACACTATGTGCAGTCTACACTATATGCAGTCTACACTATGTGCAGTCTACACTATATGCAGTCTACACTATGTGCAGTCTACACTATATGCAGTCTACACTATGTGCAGTCTACACTATATGCAGTCTACACTATATGCAGTATACACTATGTGTAGTATACACTATGTGTGGTATACACTATGTGTAGTATACACTATCTTTGCTAATATAAAATGTGACAGTAGAACATATTATTAGTGCAATTGTCTTTTGCTACACCGATGTACTCTAATTCATCTTCCTTATGGACATGTATGTCTAGTAAAACACATTTTTATCAACTCGTATGTTGTTTGTTTATGCCACTTTATAAATCACCACTGCTAAACAACCCAAATAAATATAGCCATAATAGACCCAAAACGCCACAAATCCTCTGTAAGTCATGTATATTACGTCACGCAACAACATGGAGTCTACAGTGCTATTTATAACCAACCAATCACATTCAGGGTTCTGTACTGGGTGGATGACGACAAGGAGCAGACGCCAGCCATTCACAAGTCGACCTTGAACGGGGAGAACCGATCTAGTCTCGTGACGGGTCTCATACGACCCACGGGTCTGACCCTGGACTTCGCCACCAACACGTAGGTTACGACCCAGACGTCGATGAAATTCAATTGGTGGATGTTAGTCGTCGTCTGGTTAATTAAAATGTAAAGTATGGAAATGTGAATTTTAGAAAAGTAGGCAATTCAGGCTAAATAGAGAGAGAATATACAATTATCAAGATAGCTTGAACACAGAGGCGTAGCGACCCTTCCCGGCGCCCGGGAGCAAACTTAACTTTCGATTTGCACCCACCCCCTCAAACTTTCGATTTGTACCACCCCATCAAACTTTCGATTTGCACCCCCCCCCCACCTCAAACTTTCGATTACTTTTTCCAACCCATTTTGGCGCCCCATAAGGTCAGCGCCCGGGGACATATGTCCCGTCCCCCCCTGCACCACCCCCCCCCCCCCCTCGCCCATCGCTACGCCTCTGCTTGAACATGTTTAGTCATTTGGCCTCAAACAATCTACTACACGAATGGTGTGTAGAATCTAATAGTACCAGAATGGAGTGTAGAATCTAATAGTACCAGAATGGTGTGTATAATCTAATAGTACCAGAATGGTGTGTAGAATATAATAGTACCAGAATGGTGTGTAGAATATAATAATACCAGAATGGAGTGTAGAATCTAATAGTACCAGAATGGTGTGTAAAATATATAGCCTGCTATAGGGCGTATACTGTAAACAGCTTTTAATTAAGCGAAAGTACAAAGTTCATTTGTAGAAAAAAAACTAGATCGATAACCGCCATCAATCCCAACGACATCAAGTCAAGCTCTAAGCTACTGACATGTGTCATGTTATAGATGTTAGTTTTAACGCTCGGCGTATATCAATGACATGTTTATTTTAGCGTGATAGCCGTTATGACATCCCGTCTAACTCGTCCTCTATCAAGTGACAATTGACCTGTATCATGTGATGATTGTCCTGTGTGATTTGATGAACACATAGTCGATGGTCACGTGATGAGTCTCATGTTTTTTGCATCACTTGGTCGAAGTACAGATTCACCTGCGTAATGTAATGTCACGTGATGATTGCTGTACTGCCCCGTACCTCGTGATCTTTTGTCTTGTGACACCTCACCAAAAGACCTGGGTACCTCATGGCCTTTTGTCTTTTAAGACGTCACTTCCTGTCCTGTACCATGTGACATTATTACCTGTACCTCGTGGCCTTTTGTCTTGTAGCATGTTACATTGAGACCTGTGCCACGTGACATTAAGACTTGTACCACGTGAACTACTCCCCTCTACCACGTGACATCATAACCTGTACCACGTGACATCGTGACCTGTACCACGTGACATCATGACCTGTACCACGTGACCTACTCCCCTGTACCACGTGACATCGTGACTTGTACCACGTGACATTATGACCTGTACCACGTGACATCATGATCTGTACCACGTGACCTACTCCACTGTACCAGGTGACATCATGACCTGTACCACGTGACATTATGACCTGTACCACGTGACATCATGACCTGTACCACGTGACCTACTCCACTGTACCAGGTGACATCATGACCTGTACCACGTGACATCATGACCTTTACCACGTGACATCATGACTTGCACCAAATTACCTACTCCCTGTACCACATAACCTACTCCACTGTACCACGTGACATCATGACATATACCACGTGACATCATGACATGTACCATGTGACCTACTCCACTGTACCACATAACCTACTCCCCTGTACCACGTGACATCATGACCTGTACCACGTGACCTACTGCACTATACCACGTGACATCATGACCTGGCCACGTGACTACTCCCCTGTACCACGTGACATCATGACCTGTACCACGTGACCTACTCCACTGTACCTCGTGACCTACTCCCATGTACCACGTGACCTACTCTTCCCGTCCAGCCTGTACTGGGTGGAGAGACTCCCCGGGCTCTCCGTCGTCAACAAGTGCCACCTCAACAACCACACGTGCATCCCCGTGCGCGTGAGTACAGTGTACGACAGCTACCTATTCGACCTTGACTTTCATCAGGTGAGCATGTTTGTCTTACATAACGTTTAAAGCGCTAATGGCCAATTAGCGCAGATCCTGCTTGATATTTTATACGAGAATATTAAAATTCAGAAACAGTGAACTTTGACCCTGATCATCATTGCTAACTTCACTGAGGCAGAAAGTGAAGGGGGGGGGGGTTGAAAAGCGTGTATCACAATACATTCGTTTATAACTAACGTTAAAATAAAATATAAACTCTCAATATTTTTACCATGGTGCCTACTTTCTTATTATATGTTAAATTTAAAAAAACATTTTTTCTAAACTTGACATTTGTTCAAGTGGGTGAAATTAAAGTTAGAAAAATGATGGGGAAAATTTTAGCTTTTTTTTTTATTTTTAAAAAGACAAATCAATATTTAACATGCTTGCCACGTTATTTAATTAACAACGATTCCATTTTTTTTTAATTAAAATTATTTTTAATAAACGAAATTATTTTTCAATTCAAAACATTTTTGTGAGCTCGAAGAGTTGTATTTTCAGGATTTTCTCGTTTCAAGTGACGTCACCGGGAACCGCCTAATTTTAATCGACACAAAAAGCGAGCAGATTTTACGACAGAACTGGCCAGGTTCAACCTACGGCGTCTGTGTAGCGGCCGAGGAAAGACAACCCTGGATTGGTAACACGACAAACAATAATTCATGGGTTACCTCCCCTGTTTTTTGTTTTGTTTTGTTTTGTTGAGGTTGAGTCGGTAAAGCTTAATAAGGTTGCTAAGCTGAAAATAATGGAGTTCGTTCCCCTGGCAGATGAGGCTCGTTGACCGGGGACAGTAACCTATCTAGGAGAGACAACTCCAAAATCAAACAACTGCTGCCTTGTTGTTTGATCTTGGTTAGACAAAGGCTATGGAAGCAAATCCAAAAAGAAAAGCAGGCTGAAATCAGCGTAAATGTAATACTTTATATTGTTGGAGGGAATACCCTCCAGCATTAAAAATTAATAATAAAAAAAAGAAGTAGAAGGAAAGAAGAAGAAACAATTTGTCACGATGATGTACACGGTTGTAAATGTGTCTGATAAGGGAACTAAGTTCACCGAATTATGATTATGATTAAGCAGTCTAGCGCTCTACCGCATACATTTAAATACGAAATCATTTTATTTTTTCTAGAACTCCCTAAAACAGACTACAAGAAGCCAGACCCAGACAACGGTGACGTCATTCAGGACGCAGCAAAAGTAGGCGTGGTCTTCCTGGCATCTGAGAAACATGGCATCTTTGTGGCGCCGAAAACGTTCACCATGGGCCATACGGAGTCGCCGCCCGTTTCTTGGCTCCCGGAGACAGGAGTCCTGAGCATGGCAGTGGACACAAGGCGGAACCACCTGTTTTATTTCTCTGCTCAAACTAAGGTACATTTTCTCTATACCAGGGGTCTCCAAACTACGGCCCGCGGGCCGGATGCGGCCCGCGAAGTCCTCTCATCCGGCCCGCGGAGATCTTTTCGTCCAAGAAAAAATCGTTTGTTAGTTATGGTTGTGGAACTTTGCCCAGAAAAATCAAAGACATACCTAGAAGAAATTGGCCCCCGAACTGAAATTTGATAGTTAATGCGGCCCTCGGACTGAAAAGTTTGGAGACCCCTGCTCTATACAAACTAAGGTATATTTTCTCTTTACTAGAATTTAAAAAGCAACCCATGCTTTTATTTTTGTTGTTTAAGTAGTAGTTTTTATAATTATGTATGTAAAGAAAATAATTAATTTTTCTCCCTTTTAGTGTATTATTGCATTAAAGCTTGTTATTACAAATTTTATTCTCCTTTTTTAGTAATTTAATATTTGTAATACAGTAATACAAATGTGCGTTTAATAGCACCGTAAATAGTACTTTGAATTGAAAATATTAATTTTTTTTTTTAAATTGACTAAGCATCAAATTAAGTTAAATTTAAAAATCAGATTGCATTTTCATCGGGTCTTGAGATGAAGTTTTAGAGAAATTGGTCCTTTAGAAGTGGTAGAAAGTTCGCTCGCCCGTTTTGATCCATGAGTACCGACAAAAAGCACGACAAAAGCACAACCAACAAGAGCACGACATACAGAGGAAGCAAGTTAAATAAAAATTTAAGAATGGCTTATTTGAGAAATATATTTCTTTCAGTCAATTTTTAAAGTGAATATCCCAAACCATATTGACCCGTTAGAGAATATTACCAAAAGAGAGATTGTGACGTCATGCATGGCAAGGGTTAAAGGTAATTCTATTCTTTGTTTCACTTGTCTTTGTTAATAATGCATGTTAGAGAATGATATATATATATATATATATATATATATATATATATATATATATATATATATATATATATATGTATATATATATATATATATATATATATATATATATGTATGTGTGTGATATATGTATATATATATATATATATATATATATATATATATATATATATATATATATATATATATATACATATATATATATATATATATATCTGTGTATATGTGTGTAAGTGTGAGTGTGATTGTGTGGTGTGTGTGTATATATAATCTATTTCTCCCGTAGCGATGGCCGTGGACGAGTTGGCCGGTGGGAACCTGTACTGGCTGGACACGGCCTACAGACGTATCATGGTGTCACGTGACGATGGCCGCTACCACAAGGTGCTCCACTTTCAGAACATCACCGAGCCACGTGACCTGGCCATACACAGTTACCGGAAGTACGAAATATTTTCTCTTCCTTTCTGTTTTTAAACACCTTAGCTGTTAAGATCGGCTGGCTACTCTTTTGGACCTGCTTTGGAGCAGATGAAGTTGAGTCAGAGGCGTAGCAAGCGGCGGGGCTGGGGTGCGGACCGCACCTGGTGACACCATTTAGGGGGGGGGGGGAGTGACAATATGGCTAAAAAATGCAAAATTATGCGGCATTTATTTAAATAATATGCTTTTGTAGGCCGACACACATACACACACACACACACACACACACACACACATATATATATATATATATATATATATATATATATATATATATATATATATATATATATATATATAATTTGTTTCTTGGGGGGGGGGGGGGGGGGTTACACCGCACCGGGTGACACCCGACCTAGCGACGCCACTGAGTTGAGTTTGTATTTGAAAGACGTTTTTAGTCATCTATCTCAATTTTTTTTTTCCAAAATTCACTAGAGAAACAGAGACACAAAATTCTAATTGAATTTTAATTACCATGTTATTGTTAATTAGTATGTTTATGAACTGCCTTAGATTCCTGTTCTGGATAGATGCCCCAAAAGACAATCCAAGAATCGAGAGGTCGGATCTTGACGGTCAGCGTCGTGTTGTTATTTTACAAGGGGGAGGTTTTCTTGGGCGTCCGGACGCTTTGGCTCTTGACATCGGCAGGAGCATGTAAGTGTTTTTGTCAGGGAGATGTAAGGGGTGTTGTCAAAAATATGTAAGGAACATGTAAGCTTTGTTGTAAGGGGGATGTAAGTGATATTGTCAGAAATATGTAAGGAACATGTAAGTGTTGTCAAGAACATTTAAGTGGTGTAGTCAGGAAGACGTAAGGAACATGTAAGTGTTGTTGTCAGAAATATGTAAGGAACATGTAAGTGGTGTTGTCAAGAAGATGTCAAAGTTAGTGTAAAGAACATGTTAGTGTTAGTGCCAGAAATATGTAATGAACATGTAAGTGATGTTGTCAGAAATATGTAAGGAACATGTAAGTGTTGTACTTATAAATATGTAATGAACATGTAAGTGTTGTCAAGAACATTTAAGTGGTGTAGTCAGGAAGATGTAAGGAAGATGTAAGTGGTATTGTCAGAAATATGTAAGGAAGATATATAAGTGATGTTGTCAGGTAGATGTTAAGCTTTGTCAGGACAATGTAAGTTCTCCTGCAAAATGTATTAAATAAAAAGCCACTAAAACATATTACTTCTTTTATCGTCTTCAGTTTGTACTGGAGCGACGGCTACTCGCTGTGTCAGGCTGACCTTGATGGCCGAATGCTGGCGGACTGTCAGAGACGGGGCCACAGGGCCATGGCCATGGATGTCATGCACGTGAGTAAAGTTATAACGTGCAGTACTCAGCTTTAAGGTCTGAATAGTTCTTGTGTTTGGGTGGATATGATGTTTAGATAGATTTAATGTTAAGATAAACTTGATGTTTGGATAGATTTGATGTTTAGGTAAACTTAATGTTCAGATAAAATTGATGTTTAAATAGACTTGATGTTTAGGTAATAGACTTGATGTTTAGGTAGACTTGATGTTCAGATTAAATTGATGTTTAAATAGACTTGATGTTCAGATAAAATTGATGTTTAGATAGACTTGATGTTTAGATAGACTTGATGTTTAAGTAGACTTGATGTATAGATAAAATTGATGTTTAGGTAGACTTGATGTATACATAAAATTGATGTTTAGGTAGGCTTAACGTTTAGATAGACTTGATGTTTAGGTAGACTTGATGTTTAGATAAAATTGACTTGGTGACTAGATATTTAAATTGACTACGTGTTTAGATAGACCTAGATGGACTATATGTTTATTTTGATGTCATCATATCTTAATATTAAGTTGATGTTATATAAATGTGAGTGTTGTGTAAATTGACTTGATGTTTAGGTGTACTTGATTTTTATCTTGATAACTTAAATGTCTCTATGGACATGATGTTTAAATAGACTTCCAGATAAAATTGAAAACAAAAAGCGCTATAATTCTTTGGTGCCTCTCTTAAGGTGAAACACTAACACCACTTTGTTTATTTACAACCAGGACTATGTAATTTGGACGAATCTGATTGGTGGAGTCTCGTCAGCTGACGTGCACACGGACGGGCCATTGGTCAATGTTGTCTCCTCCCCCCAGCACTCGGACATACAGTTCAGTGATCTGGTATACTTACACCAGTCTCTGAAGATCTCTGGGAAAGGTTGCTAGCACTCTCTTACTGTTTGTGTTGTCTTTTGATAAGGCTTGCTTCCATCAGTTTCTGAAGATCTCTGGGAAAGGTTGCTAGCACTCTCTTACTGTTTGTGTTGTCTTTTGATAAGGCTTGCTTCCATCAGTCTCTGAAGATCTCTGGGAAAGGTTGCTAGCACTCTCTTACTGTTTGTGTTGTCTTTTGATAAGGCTTGCTTCCATGAGTCTATGAAGATCTCTGGGAAAGGTTGCTAGCACTCTGTTACTGTTTGTGTTGTCTTTTGATAAGTCTTGCTTCCATCAGTCTCTGAAGATCTCTGGGAAAGGTTGCTAGCACTCTCTTACTGTTTGTGTTGTCTTTTGATAAGTCTTGCTTCCATGAGTCTCTGAAGATCTCTGGGAAAGGTTGCTAGCACTCTGTTACTGTTTGTGTTGTCTTTTGATAAGTCTTGCTTCCATCAGTCTCTGAAGATCTCTGGGAAAGGTTGCTAGCACTCTCTTACTGTTTGTGTTGTCTTTTGATAAGGCTTGCTTCCATGAGTCTATGAAGATCTCCGGGAAAGGTTGCTAGCACTCTCTTACTGTTTGTGTTGTCTTTTGATAAGTCTTGCTTCCATCAGTCTCTGAAGATCTCCGGGAAAGGTTGCTAGCACTCTCTTACTGTTTGTGTTGTCTTTTGATAAGTCTTGCTTCCATGAGTCTATGAAGATCTCTGGGAAAGGTTGCTAACACTCTCTTACTGTTTGTGTTGTCTTTTGATAAGTCTTGCTTCCATCAGTCTCTGAAGATCTCTGGAAAAGGTTGCTCGCACTCTCTTACTGTTTGTGTTGTCTTTTGATAAGTCTTGCTTCCATCAGTCTCTGAAGATCTCTGGAAAAGGTTGCTCGCACTCTCTTACTGTTTGTGTTGTCTTTTGATAAGTCTTGCTTCCATCAGTCTCTGAAGATCTCTGGGAAAGGTTGCTCGCACTCTCTTACTGTTTGTGTTGTCTTTTGATAAGTCTTGCTTCCATCAGTCTCTGAAGATCTCTGGAAAAGGTTGCTCGCACTCTCTTACTGTTTGTGTTGTCTTTTGATAAGTCTTGCTTCCATCAGTCTCTGAAGATCTCTGGAAAAGGTTGCTCGCACTCTCTTACTGTTTGTGTTGTCTTTTGATAAGGCCTGCCTCCTTTACAAAGGGGGGGGGGGGTGTCCATAAATGATGGGGTCACACGCCTGTGGTTTTATAATATAATAAAAGGAGATGGAATACCCACTATAATTGACAGTAAAAAAGAAAACAATACACATTTTTGGTTCCCTTTGTTGATTAATTGTAAAAGACAAGAAGACAAATTCAGGTGGGCCTCTAGGACGCGGCTAGTCCGCCCTGCGCTTAGATTACATATTTATTTAGATTTCTATTACAACTTACGTTTTCAATTTATAATATGTATTACAACTTACGTTTTCAATTTATAATATGGATTACAACTTACGTTTGCAATTTATAAAATTTATTGCAACTTACGTTTGCAATTTATAAAATTTATTACAACTTACATTTTCAGTTTATAAAATGAATTACAACTTACGTTTTCAATTTATAAAATTTCTTACAACTTACGTTTTCAATTTATAAAATGTATTACAACTTACGTTTCAAATTTATAAAATGTATTGCAACTTACGTTTTCACTTTACAAAATTTCTTACAACTTACGTTTTCAATTTATAAAATATATTGCAACTTACGTTTTAAATTTATAAAATTTATTACAAATTACGTTTTCAATTTATAAAATTTACTACTACTTACGTTTTCAATTTATAAAATTTACTACTACTTACGTTTTCAATTTATAAAATTTATTACAAATTACGTTTTCAATTTATAAAATTTACTTCAACTTACGTATTCAATTTATAAAATAACCAAGCCACCTGTTTGTTTTGTAAATTTAACAAAAAAATTATACCCATGATCGTAAATCTATAGCATAGTGCAAATGTTTCTGGAATATTCGCAGACCCTTGTATCCAGTACGTAAGTATAGAGAGCAGCACCGCCCCTCACCAACCATCTCCCGGCGCCTTAAAAGACACCACCGTCACGGGGAACTCCACAGACGGGAACTTGACCGGAAGTCTGACAAGAGACCAAGGTCTCAGCTCCACCAAGAAGAAGAAAACCTGCGCGCACCTGTGCCTGCAGTCCCAGACAGGCGCGACCTGCACGTGTGCTTTAGGCTACTGGCTCAAGCCTAATGGAGGCTGTGTCGAGGGTGAGCGTCTCAACAGAGTCATTTCTAGATGAGCCGTGTATATTGTCACCTATTGTATGGTCATTTTTCATATGTGTAAAATATAGCGTCATATATCATATCGTATGGTGTCATGTAATATATGTTTTTGTAACGTCCTTTTGTATATGTGACGCTTCTAGGATGCTTTTTTTTTATTTTGTTTTTTAAATAATTGATTTTAAACATTTAAAACTGTAATAATTTTTTTTTAGTTTTATACAGTTTTAAAAACATAACACAATTTTATTTATAGTAATTAAAAGGAGAAAGTAAAATGGCATAAGAAGTAGACTAAACTAGACTGCTTAGTTTACTGTGCCCCATCTTCTAAAGGGGCACAACCGCCTTTAGGATTCGAATGTAAAATGTGCTTAATATAATAGTACAATCTGTCAAAAGTCGCATCGACGTATGTAAAGGTGCACTTAAACCTGCATTTCATTACCAATTGTTTTTAATGACATTTTTTTTTAAAATTAGGAGTGACCTACGACCACTATCTGCTGTTCTGTGACCTGGTGACGGGTCATCTATACCGACAGTTTATTCTCTTGCCGGACTATTACAATGTCAAGGTCGCCGGGAACGCCCACGCCATCGACGTGGCGCTGGACAGCTATGAGAGAAGAGTGAGTCCATAGTTATTTCCCTTTACGTAGGTTCTCTTCCCCTTGATAATCATCTCCCCCTGACTTGCTGGTGTCCGGTCAAAAAACCCCTGGACAAAAACCCCCTGGACATAAACCCCCCGACATAAACCCCCTGGACAAAAACCCCCCGTGACATAAACCCCCTGGACAAAACCCCCCCACGATATAAACCCCCCTGGACATAAACCCCCCGCGATATAAACCCCCTGGACAAAAACCCCCCAATTGAGGTTTATATAAGGAAGAACCAAAGATGACGAGAAACAAAATTAATATATAAATACAAAACAAACATTAGAAAAAATCTGTTTTATTTTTATTATAACCTTAAAGAGACAGATTGCGACCTTTTGATTTGGCACCGGAATCGTACTGAAGAAATTGTTGCCCATCTTGTGTTATTGTATATTATTCAGGAATGATTATATCATCAACATTCCTTGGATCAGACAGTGGGTGTTTTAGCGTTTGACGTTGACGCCTGATGTTACGCCGTATGTGTTGAATCGAGGGCAGCTTGGCCTTGGCATCTTCGGTAATCGTAGCAATGGACTTAGTGATGATCTGCTGGGGTGTTGCTTCCGTTTTTTCTGCCAGTTGTTTCATCTGCTGCACTACTTTACACACTTCCAGTTGAGATGGATCTGGTCCATGCGAATGTTCATTACATCGTCCAACAAGCTGTTCACCATGAATCTTTATTTTTGCTTTGCATTCTGCCTTGTTGCGTCTTTTGGAACACTCAAATGCCACAACGCGGTTCGCCAGATCTTTTTGCTTGACATAAACATAGCCTCAAAAATCACCTTTAAATTGCCTTTATTGGATTGAACGAACTCCATTCCAGAAAATATACGATTTGTGGAGAAATAAATTTGATGTCGTATTTATACCATGGTTCTGTATGCCAAGGTGGATATGAACCAAGCTTCCGCCGGTGAATTTCTCACATCTTTTGTATTGTTAAAAATGTGTTGCTTTGATCCGCACGGCTCCCACATGTGGATGACCTATGTCTAAGGTGTTGTCGGTGCCTGATCTTTGATCAAATACAACTAAGGTCACTCCTTGATTTCGAAAAGCATTTTTTAGGTAGAAACTATTTTCTTAGTCGTAAAAAATTAAATTAATTTAATGTAATTTTTTTAATTTCTTGGTTCACATCATCGTTATTTTTTCTCTATATAAACCTCAGTCCGGGGGTTATTATCCGGGGGGTTTATATCGCGGGGGGGTTTTGTCCAGGGGGTTTATATCGCGGGGGGGTTTTGTCCAGGGGGTTTATGTCGCGGGGGGTTTTTGTCCAGGGGGTTTATGTCGGGGGGTTTATGTCCAGGGGGTTTTTGTCCAGGGGGTTTTTGACCGGGAGCCGACTTGCTGGTTTAATACAAGTGACATAAACACACACATAGTGTCACGTATGTCACATACACGTCACTGGGTCAAGAGAAAACAATGATCCCATCCCTTGAGACTGAGCAGCGTATATGAGTATCCAGCATTGGGACAGACAACACATACAAGCTTATGTTTTTGTTTTTTTGGGCCATTTCGGTTGCTACAATTTTTTTTGTAAACTATTCCAACCGTTTTCTGATTACAGATAAAACTAAAACCTTTCCTTTCCAATCCTCCCAAAGAACTTAAACACACACAGACACACACAGACACACACAAATACAATTATATGTATGTATGTATGTACGTGTGCATGAATACTGTTATCTAAATACACCAAACAAGATTTCCATCAAATAGTTCCTGATTCTTGCCCTCTTGTATGTACGTGCGCATGAATACTATCATATACATACACCAAACAAGTTCTCCATCAAATAGTTCCTGATTCTTGCCCTCTTGTATGTACGTGCGCATGAATACTATCATATACATACACCAAACAAGTTCTCCATCAAATAGTTCCTGATTCTTGCCCTCTTGTATGTACGTGCGCATGAATACTGTTATCTAAATACACCAAACAAGTTCTCCATCAAATAGTTCCTGATTCTTGCCCTCTTATGTGTAACAGATGTACTGGGTGGATGCCAAGACCAACCTTGTCTTCTCCGTCCACCTGAATGGGACTGGTCAAACTGTGGTTTTCTCTGGGGATGAGACGCTCAGTGAGTTGCATACAAACATTGTTTGTCTCCAGACATGAAGTGAAGTTACTTACAAACATTGTTTGTAACTAGACATGAAGTTACATACAAACATTGTTTGTCACTAGACATGAAGTTACATACAAACATTGTTTGTCACTAGACATGAAGTTACATACAAACATTGTTTGTCACTAGACATGAGTCGTCGGCACTGCAATGACTAGGCCAGTGGTCAGCACTGTAATAACTAGACCACTGGTCACGTAATAACGTAAGGACTATTCCTGTGGTCAACCTACTTGACCAACAGTCATGACTGCAATGACTTTACTGAGGTCGGGTACCCATCACTTCTGAGTAAACTCAGGGGCGCCTTCGAACCCATGAACCAAACTCGAGACTTGTGGGTTAGTTACCGTACGCTCTACAGCTCTACCACGTCACTCTAGCAGGACATTTTTATTTTTTGAGCGTTGAAGAAATCGCAGATCTAACCGTTTAAAAACCTTTAAAATAATCCCTAGCTAAACTTTAAATTAAACCTTTAAAGCAGTATTTCTAACCCAACAAGACTAAAAGCTATTTATCCTATTGAATCAAATGTAATAGTCACATTGTTAAAAAAAATAATAGTGTAAATGGCGGTACTGATTGGGGGGGCGGGGGTACATATGTCCCCGGGCGCCGACCCTTTAGGGGCACCAAAAAGGTGTTGGAAAAAAAATTAAAAGCTCATTTTAGCTGCAATTTTGCATTATAAATATAAAAAATATATGGGGGGGGGGGGGGACAAATTAAAAGTTTGTTTCCGGGAAGGGGGAAGGGGGGGGGGGGAGTCAAATTGAAAGTTTGTCCACGGGCACTGGGTTGCTACGCCTCTGACTGATTGATTAGTTTTGCCACACCAATGACAATTTTAAGCCAGATTTACCGTTGTCTAAACCAGACCTAGTGTTGTGTGGTTGTCACGGCGCATGCTAACGTGACACTAATTTACAAACGTGACCCAAAGTTTTCCCTTCCAGACGTGACAAAAATTTACCTGGCCCCGAGGTCACGTCTGCTGTACATCGTTTCCTCCAACGGTGACGTGGCTCTCATGAGCCTGGTGACGTCATACTTCCGGCTGATCGTCAGGCATCCCGGCTGGAGAGTCAATGACCTGACGGTGGATGAGGAATCCAGGTGGATAACAGCTGTATTTATTGTCATTGTCATACATTCGTGAGATACACTTAACTCAAACATTCATGGCATACATGTATGTCATGCATGCATGTCAGATATGTATGTCATAGTGTCATACATTGATGTCAAACATTGATGTCATACAAGCATGTCATTCATTCAATTTCACAAATTCATGTCACACATTCATGTCATATATTAATGTCACTCATATATGTCATACACTCGTCGCATACAATCAGTGTCATACATTTAAAGTTATACATTCATTGCATACATCCAGGCCATACATTCATGTCATACATTTATGTCATACATTCATGTCATACATTCATGTCACTCATTCAGGTTATACATTCATGTCATACATTTATGTTATACATTCATGTCACACATTCATGACACTTATTCATGTCATACATTTATGTCATGCATTCTTGTCATACATTCATGTCATGCACGCATCTATTGGCGTTGTGATACATTCATGCTAAACATGCATGTCATACATTCATGTCATACATCCATGTCATACATCCATATCATACATCCATGTGATACATTTGTCATGCATTCATGTCATACATTCTTTGTCACACGTATGTCATACATTCGTCCCCCTGACATTTGCGCCAATCCGGCAGGCGGATGTACCTGGCGGCCACCAGCAAAAACATCCACGCCAACAGGTACCTGGTCAGGGACTACGGCGCCATCTTGTGTGCGGACATGGACGGGGTCAACCTCCTGGAGATGTACGCGTATCCGGGATGTCCTGCGGGAATTACCGTTCATAACGGAAGTAGGTGGATGTGTAGTCCGGCGGGAATTGCCGTTCATAACGGAAGTAGGTGGATGTGTAGTCCGGCGGGAATTACCGTTCATAACAGAAGAAGACTGTGTTCGTTTGGGGATTAACGCATTAACGGAAATAGAAAAAGAAGGAAGGTTGTGTCAAAAACTTTAAAGGAGATTTTTTTTCGATTTCTTTTTTTTTTTGTTTAAAACGTACGATAGATTACAGTCTTATACGTTAAATGAAACTACTTAGACGATATATTATATGCGATAATTTGGCTCAAGTACTAAGAAATTATTAGGGATAATTTAATGAAACTAGTTAAACAGTATCTGGGATTATTTTTGGTAGGTTCCCTGCGGAAAGGTTTGATTCAGACACGTCCTACTGACCAACAACCGAATATGCGTTTTTTCGGGTTAGTAATCATTAATCATTTGTACAACGACTCGACCACACTGTTCCATCTTCAATATAAAAACCAAGGTTCAAACCCACTACTCCCCCCCCCCCTCTCCCATCTGCTGATGTTAGCATTCAAGTTGCATATGTTGATTGGCCATTGTTTGGTCATCTAGTTTAAAAGATGAATACATCTTACCCCATCGGCGCACATGAACTTTTTAATTAATTTAATAAACTGAATTTAATCAGAAAATGATTAGAAATTATTTAAAAGTTGATCAAGTGTTTGGGCGCTTTTTTTGTTGTTCCGCTCTAACATCTCGCTGAAATCATTACGCTAATTACACCACGATGACCTATAACGTGTAACTTCAAAATCTACCCCGGCAAAACAAAACAGAATTAATAGACCCAGGGATCGAACATTCCAGAACTACTGTGGACCGACCCCGACCAGCAGGCCATCTTCCAGGCCTACAACAAGCGGAGCACCTACATCCACGCCAACTCCGTCTACACCGACGGCAACGACGGCACCATCGTCACGACGCTGGTGCACCTGGACGAGAGTTCGAATCCCGGCGAGATCATGGTGGCCGGGGACTTTGTCTACTTCACTGACAGGTTCAGACAGGCGGTTCAAAGGTCAGTTAGTGCAGTCTCTCCTTTCAGCGTTCAAGTTTTTGTAGGTCTCTCCTAGCAAATATTTGCTTACGGTTGTTTCTCAAACAAAGCGACACGGCTTCAGCGACTTTCCTATAGAATAAGTAGAGAACGTATTCCTGACTTCATAGCTTAGATGGTTGTGTGTGTGTGTGTGTTTGTGTGCGTGCGTGCTTGCGTGCTTGCGCGTATATGTGTGTGTGTGTGTTTGTGTGCGTGTTTGTGTGTTTGTGTATGCCTGGTCCCATGACAAATGATCTCAGGGCAAAATATCCCCGACAAATTATCTCAGGACAAAAGTATCTCACTGAAGAAAATATATCAGACAAATATTATTATGGATAAATGATATCAGAAAAAAGATCTCACCGCTAAATATTTATAGTATTTCGGATGCTTTTAGTCGTTTTTAACTTCATTTGTCCTGAGATCATTTGTCCATTAGATCATTTGTCCTTGTGATCATTTGTCCTTGTGATCATTTGTCCCTGAGACATTTTGTCTGAGATCATTTGTCCTGTCATCGTTTGCCTATATGCATTTATTTCCCATATAGTCACACGTTAAACCCTCTAACCTGTATCTAGAAAAAAAAATGTCTTTTACAATGATGACATCGTTTCCTCCTAGATTTCGATGGGACAAACCAAAAGTCATCACTAACGCAGGTTTTCCTTACCTCAACGAAATCGCTGGAATCAACTTGTTCAACTCCAGTAAGTTATAACCGGCTCGAACTAATTGTAATTAGCGTGAGGTTCGTTATGCGTTGTTCGAAATCATAAATTATGAATAATTAGTATTTTTCGAGGTTTTTTTTTTAACTTTGTATCACATGCTTAATGCTTTTGTGTTCTCCATGGGTAAGAACTGGTGAGCGAGATTCGACAAAACTTCAAGAGAAAAACCTGGGTCGCTACTTTATGTGTTCGGTACCTTTACACAATTACAAAAATTTAAGAAGCGACCCACGATTTTTCTTTTTAGTATATTTAATATTTAAAGAAAATCATGTATTTTCTTCTTTTTTTTTAAGGCATAATTATATAAAGCTTGCTATTAAAAAGTTCTGTCATTCTAAAATTCAGAATTTACTCCCGGGTTTTAATTAGTTCTAAACATGAAACAGAGTTTCTTCCAGGAATCTCTTCGAAGAAAGTCTACCGTCCCCCCCCCCCCGAACGAAATGGAATTTATTTAGATATACTTTTAACAGTGTCCGCCCCCCCTCCCCTCCCCGAAAATTTTAGTCCGCCGCCTTCCCCCCCCCCCCCCCCCCCCCCGTCCTACATCAGTGTTTGCTGAAGTGGTGAGACGTCTTACACAGCCTGTGCCTTCACCAAGGCCGTCTCCTGTTTTTCTTCTTCAGTCTTAATAGCCGGTCTAGCATTTCAGTATATCTTTACACACAGATTCCTCAATCTTTACACATTGATTCTTTGGTCTTTTCACATTGATTCTTTAATCTTTACACATAGATTCTTCAATCTTTACACATTGATACATCAATCATTACACATTGATTCTTTAATCTTTTCACATTGATTCTTCAATCTTTTCACATTGATTCTTCGATCTTTACACATTGATTCCTAAATCTTTACACATTGATTCTTCAATCTTTACACATTGATATATCAATCTTTACACATTGATTCTTTAATCTTTTCACATTGATTCTTCAATCTTTTCACATTGATTCTTCAATCTTTACACATTGATTCCTAAATCTTTACACATTGATTCTTTAATCTTTACACATTGATTCTTCAATCTTTACACATTGATTCTTTAATCTTTACACATTGATTCTTTAATCTTTTCACATTAATACATCAATCTTTACACATTGATTCTTTAATCTTTTCACACTGATTCTTCAATCCTTACACATTGATTCTTAAATCTTTACACATTAATTCTTCTATCTTTACACATTGATACTTAAATCTTTACACATTGATTCTTTAATCTTTTCACATTGATTCTTCAATCTTTTCACATTGATTCTTTAATCTTTTCACATTAATTCTTCAATCTTTACATATTGATTCTTCAATCTTTACACATTAATTCTTAAATCATTACATATTGATTCTTCAATCTTTACACAATAATTCATTAATCTTTACACATTTATACATCAATCTTTACACATTGATTCTATAATCTTTTTAGATTGATTCTTCAATCTTTATACATTAATTTTAAATCTTAACACATTAATTCTTAAATCTTTACTCATTGATACATCAATCTTTACACATTAATTCTTTAATCTTTTCTTATTGATTCTTCAATCTTTACACATTAATTCTTCAATCTTTACACATTGATTCTAAAATCTTTACACATTAATTTTTCAATCTTTACACATTGATTCCATAATCTTTTCACAATGATTCTTTAATCTTTTCACATTGATTATTTAATCTTTACATAATGATTCTTCAATCTTTACACATTGATTCTTCAATCTTTTCACATTGATTCTTCAATCTTTACACAGTGATTCCTAAATCTTTACACATTGATTCATTAATCAGTACACATTGATTCTTCAATCTTTACACATTGATTCTTTAATCTTTTCACATTAATACATCAATCTTTACACATTGATTCTTTAATCTTTTCACACTGCTTCTTCAATCCTTACATATTGATTCTTTAATCTTTACACATTAATTCTTCAATCTTTACACATTGATACTTAAATCTTTACACATTGATTCTTTAATCTTTTCACGTTTTACACATTGATTCTTTAATCTTTTCACGTTGATTCTTCAATCTTTACACATTGATTCTTTAATCTTTTCACATTAATTCTTCAATCCTTACACATTGATTCTTTAATCTTTACACATTAATTCTTAAATCATTACACATTGATACATCAATCTTTACACATTAATTCATTAATCTTTACACATTTATACATCAATCTTTACACATTGATTCTTTAATCTTTTTACATTGATTCTTCAATCGTTACACATTAATTCTTCAATCTTTACACATTGATTCTCCAATCTTTATACATTAATTCTTAAATCTTAACACATTAATTCTTAAATCTTTATTCATTGATACATCAATCTTTACACATTAATTCTTTAATCTTTTCTCATTGATTCTTCAATCTTTACACATTAATTCTTAAATCTTTACACTATGATTCTCCAATCTTTACACATTAATTCTTCAATCTTTACACATTGATTTCATAATCTTTTCACAATAATTCTTTAATCTTTTCACATTGATTATTTAATCTTTACACATTGATTCTTCAATCTTTACACATTGATTCTTTAATCATTACACATTGATTCATCAATCTTTACACATTGATTCTACAATCCTTACACATTGATTTTTTATTCTTTACACATTGATTATTTAATCTTTACACATTGATTCTTCAATCTTTACACATTGATTCTTTAATCATTACACATTGATTCATCAATCTTTACACATTGATTCTACAATCCTTACACATTGATTTTTTAATCTTTACACATTGATTATTTAATCTTTACACATTGATTCTTCAATCTTTACACATTGATTCTCAATCTTTAAACATTGATTCTCTAATCATTACACATTAATTCTTCAATCTTTACACATTGATACTTCAATCTTTACACATTGATTCTTTAATCTTTTCAAATTGATTCTTCAGTCTTTACACATTGATTCTTTATTCTTTTCACATTGATTCTTTATTCTTTTCACATTGATTCTTCAATCTTTACACATTGATTCTTTAATCTTTACACATTAATTCTTAAATCTTTACACAATAATTCTTAAAACTTTACTCAATGATACATCAATCTTTACACATTGATTCTTTAATCTTTTCACATTAATACATCAATCTTTACACATTGATTCTTTAATCTTTTCACACTGCTTCTTCAATCCTTACATATTGATTCTTTAATCTTTACACATTAATTCTTCAATCTTTACACATTGATACTTAAATCTTTACACATTGATTCTTTAATCTTTTCACGTTGATTCTTCAATCTTTACACATTGATTCTTTAATCTTTTCACATTAATTCTTCAATCCTTACACATTGATTCTTTAATCTTTACACAATAATTCTTAAATCATTACACATTGATACATCAATCTTTACACACTAATTCATTAATCTTTACACATTTATACATCAATCTTTACACATTGATTCTTTAATCTTTTTACATTGATTCTTCAATCGTTACACATTAATTCTTCAATCTTTACACATTGATTCTCCAATCTTTATACATTAATTCTTAAATCTTAACACATTAATTCTTAAATCTTTATTCATTGATACATCAATCTTTACACATTAATTCTTTAATCTTTTCTCATTGATTCTTCAATCTTTACACATTAATTCTTCAATCTTTACACTATGATTCTCCAATCTTTACACATTAATTCTTCAATCTTTACACATTGATTCCATAATCTTTTCACAATAATTCTTTAATCTTTTCACATTGATTATTTAATCTTTACACATTGATTCTTCAATCTTTACACATTGATTCTTTAATCATTACACATTGATTCATCAATCTTTACACATTGATTCTACAATCCTTACACATTGATTCTTTAATCTTTACACATTGATTATTTAATCTTTACACATTGATTCTTCAATCTTTACACATTGATTCTTCAATCTTTTCACACTGATTCTTCAATCTTTATACATTGATTCTTCAATATTTACACATTGATTGATTCTTCAATCTTTACACATTGATTCTTCAATCTTTACACATTGATTCTTTAATCTTTACACATTGATTCTTCAATCTGTATACATTGTTTCTTCAATCTTTACACATTGATTCTTTAATCATTACACATTGATTCATCAATCTTTACAGATTGATTCTACAATTCTTACACATTGATTCTTTAATCTTTACACATTGATTCTTCAATCTTTACACATTAATTCCTCATACATTGCAAGTCGTAAAAATGTAAGATTCCTCTTTAGACCTAGCGATCCGTTCTTCAGTTGAAGTAGAGTTCTTATGTTTCTTGACCCTGATCATATGAAGGGATGTGGTCAGTTCTATACACGGCGGCCTTTACTTTCTCTGTTTTGTACCTATCGGAATTGGATGGACTCACGAACATTCTACGGATTTGATCTCGATATTTTCGGGTTAACAGTCTAGCGCTCGACCGCTAGGCCACGCCGTCCCTACAAATCACGTGTTATGCTAGAGGCGTAGGGAGGGGGCGGGGGTTGCGGACCGCACCGGGTGACACCATTTAGGGTGGTGACACCAAGGCAAAAAATAGCAAAATATAGAGAGAAAAATGATAGTGTTTTAAGAGGTGCAAATCGAAAGTTTGAGGGGGGTGGAAATCGAAAGTTTGTGGGTGGGGTGCAAATCGAAAGTTTTAGGGGGGGGGTGCAAATCGAAAGTTAGAGGGGGGGGGGGTGCAAAAATAAAAATAAATAAAAACGTTTATAATTACAAGCTTTTATAAATGCACTAAAAAGAAGAAAATAATACAATTTTTATTAAATATAAAATAATTTTTTAAAATATAATAAATCTGCGGTTACTTTAAATATAAAAAAATTACTTTCTTTAAATATATTAATGCACTACTATTTATATCACTAAAAATTAAAGCGTGGGACGCTTGTTTAAATACTTATTATTATAGCGGCTCACGAAAGGCCGATTTCGATTTGCACCCCCTTTCGATTACTTTTTTCTAACCTATTTTAGCGCCCCCTTAGGTCGGCGCCCGGGGACATATGTCTGCCCCCCCCCCCCATCACTACGCCTCTGTGTTTGTGTTAAAAATGAGACTACTCTGTCGTCCTGTCTTGCTTAATTATTATCCACCTGTTTCCCTTTCAAGGATACGTAGGCAGTCATTTTAGTCTTAACGTAAGGCTATTGTTTTTTACAGCCATTATTTGTTTAGATCGGCTTTTAAAAAAAAACATTAAATTTTATATTAGTAGGTGGGGAATAGGTAGAATTGTAAATACTAACAAAATAAAATAGGGTAATAAGTGGATCCTTGATTTTCTTTGTAATTAGGAACTTGTTTTCTTTGCCGTTATTGTAAGCTTAAAATTATAGAAATCTCTTATATCAACTCAAACGCCGTCACGACATTGTACTTACGTGCGATGTGCATTAAAATCTAGTAACTAAACAGTAGCAATAATTCCTAAATCGATACAGTGTATGTGAATGTATCTATTCGGGATAAGGAACAATATAAAGTATTTAGCTTATCGACAATGCAAGTTGTTTGGTAGAATTGGAAATTGCTATGATTTTGTTGTTTGTTCCTAAGGATTTAGTTTATGTGTTACGGCTACGTTTCCTATCCTAGACGTGTGCGTAGAATTTTACGATATTAAAATACTCATGTTTATTAGTTTATATGCATAGGTATAATTTTAATATAGCGTTCATATACATTTTTTTTTATTATGATCAGTTCATTGATCAATAAAAATTATGACAGCAATAAAAACCTGTTCACTATCCTACTTCAGGGGCGTAGCGAGGGGGGGGGGGGGGGGCGGGGGTGCGGACCGCACCGGGTGACACCATTTAGGGGGGTGACACCAACGCAAAAAATAGCAAAATATATAGAGAAAAACTCAAGGGGGGTGCAAATCGAAAGTTTGAGGGGGGGGGGGGGGTGCAATCGAAAATTTGAAAGTTTGTCCCCGGGAAGGGTCTCTATGCCTCTGGGGGGGGGGGGTGACACCATTTATTGCCGCACCGGGTGACACCCGACCTCGCTACGCCACTGTCCTAATTCCAACAGTAGACGATACCTACCAAATGGTATTCATTGAAAATGCATCAAACCTAATATTTAACCCCGAACCCACGGCTTCCAATACTGAAAGGATATTTTAGGTGACGTCAGTGTGACGTAATATAAGCGACACCGTACATTTTCGATGTTATTTTACTGGTTAGGTTGTTATGATTAGTATTTAGAATATTCCCTACATTAAGAATACGGGTTATCATTAAATTGTGAATGATAGCTGTATGTAGACAGTATATTTAAGTGTTTTAGTGAGAGAAGCCAAGACACTGTATTTGTAAACCGCGGTCTGGCTGCTAGAACTAGGTTACGTTAAGTTCTGTATTTGTAAACCACTGACGGCTAGAACTAGGTTACGGTTAAGTTCATTGTATTTGTAAACCGCGGTCTGACGGCTAGAACTAGGTTACGGTTAAGTTCTGTATTTGTAAACCGCGGTCAGACGACTAGAACTAGATTACGGTTACGTTCATTGTATTTGTAAACCACTGTCTGACTGCTAGAACTAGGTTACGTTAAGTTCATTGTATTTGTAAACCGCGGTCTGACGGCTAGAACTAGGTTACGGTTAAGTTCATTGTATTTGTAAACCGCGGTCTGACGGCTAGAACTAGGTTACGTTAAGTTCATTGTATTTGTAAACCGCTGTCTGACTGCTAGAACTAGGTTACGTTAAGTTTGGTAACGAGAGCAGCCGTTGTATTATTAAACTGTTTTTAATTGATTACAAACTAACCTATTATAAAATGCTAACAATTAAAGATAGAAATAGGCACAAGTTATCATCGACTATAAGTGTATCTATATAACAGATCTGCTTCATTTTATTTTGTATCTAAAAGGCAAGTTCTCTCATTGTCCATAATATAAAGTATCATCAGCTAATGACATTATTATCGTGGTAAATTGTGATTTATTAGCGACACGTATAAACAATAGATGTGTTATATTATTGCATGCATATTAACCTGCAATAGTTATCTGCCGTGCAAGTAACTAAAACAATCAAGGGACACAAACCAGTAATATTGTGCAAACATTGCGATACAAAAAAAAACGATTCAGAAGTCATCACAATAACTTTTTTTTATTATTGTTCAACTTATAAAATTTAATTATAATATACTTTTTGCTGATTAAGATTTATACACATATTCTAATTTTCAAATTTTAATTTTGTTTAAATGTACAGCCTTTAACTGTATTAATCATGTCATTTATTAAGATGGGATTGTTTCATTTCAACTGTGATTTGTGATTATTTCCAATTGAGCGAAATAATAAATCTCTGTTTATTTAATGTCATTTTTGCCCTCAATGTAAACCATTACATTCTATTATATATATTGTACTGTTATCAACACTAGCCATTAGGAAATGCCACAGCCAATCCATATTGCATGTGTTATACTATGTGTATGTCATTCATTATAAAAGTACTAACATCAATATAAAAAGTAATACATCTTAAATATTTTGATAATTTGCTAAAAAAAATAGCAAAAAAATAGCAAAATATATAGAGAAAAATGATAAATAGTGTTTTAAGAGGTGCAAATCGAAAGTTTGAGGGGGGTGGAAATCGAAAGTTTGAGGGTGGGGTGCAAATCGAAAGTTTGAGGGGGAGTGCAAATCGAAAATTGAAAGTTTGTCCCCGGGAAGGGTCGCTACGCCTCTGGGGGGTGGGTGACACCATTAAATGCCTCACCGGGTGACACCCGACCTCGCTACGCCACTGTGTTATGCTCTTGTGTTTCTTGTTGTGCAGGTCACGTGACAGAGCCGTACACCCAGACGGGATGTGAGGAGATCTGGGTGCCCAAACCCCACAACACCCAGACCTGCTTGTGCCAGTGGGGAGGGGACGGGGTGGATCATTACTGTCACAGCGCCCATGTTGCTATTTATAACGTCGCTTTAAAATACGGTACAGTGGTATTGATCAGTCCAGGATGTGTGACTGCTGGAGAAAGATAATGCGTATGAAATTCAAATTAACTACTTTCTTTTTAAAATAAAGTTATATTTTCGTGTTTTATTTCTATTAGATTGTTTTTTTAAATGCTGGAGAAAGACAATGTGTATGAAATTCTAGTTAACTAATAGCTGCTTAAAATAATGTTAAATTTTCGTACGTGTCTTATTTCTGTTTAGATTGTTTTTTTTAATGATATTTAAAAGATATTGTGTATTAAACTCAAGTTATTTATTAACTTTTTAAAATAATGTTATATTTGTATAAGGGTTTTATTTCTAATAGATTGTTTTTTAAATGCTGGCGAAAGACATTCGAAAGAGTATGCAACTCAAATTATCTATTAGCTTTTTAAAATAGTGTTATACTTGATCAGGTTGTTGTTGTTTCAAAGAGATGCTCTGTAACCATTATCTATTATATTATAAACCACTAATTATACAAACTAAGGTTCAAGTCACTTTTAGGAGAAAAGTTTGCTTTGCTGAACTACTGTTTAGAAATTGATAAACAGGAAGTGTATTATATTCGAATGAATAGATATTTGCTGTATACAATCAGGGTTTTTTTTTTTTTTTAGATTTTTTTTTCTCAGGGACGGGGTGAACTTAACAATTCCAGGGTGGGGGAAGAGGCGTAGCGAGGGGGGGGGGGGCGGGGGACATATGTCCCCGGGCGCCGAACTTAGGGGGGGTGCCAAATTGAAAGTTTAGGGGGGGAGTGCAAATGAAAAGTTCGAGGGGGGAGGGGTGCAAATCGAAAGTTTGTCCCCGGGCGCCGGGAAGGGTCGCTACGCCTCTGGTAAGGGGGGGGGGGGGGGATGCACTAAATATGTAGGGAGGGACGGTTACTCGTTAAATTACATACGTTTGGTACAAGAAATATTTTCTTTCTGTTTTCGTTCTACTCACTGCAGCCCGCCAGCCCCCCCCCCCTCTCTCTCTCTCTCTCTCTCTCTCTCTCTCTCTCTCTCTCTCTCTCTCTATATATATATATATATATATATATATATATATATACATATATATATATATATATATATATATATATATATATATATATATATATATATATATATATATATATATATATATATATATATATATATATATATATATATATATATATATATATATATATATATATATATATATATATATCTGAGAGAACCCTGAAAGAGAACATTCACTGATTGTGTTATATCTGTTTTGGCACCAGGTCTCTGCCTCATCAAGCCACAGGCCAACGGTGAGGTGCACGGGGGTCAGGTGGGGTCCTACGTGCTGAAGGGTTCTAAAATTGTCGTGGTGTGTGACCCCGGGTACCTGCTCAACGTGACCAAGCGGAGGAGTGAGACACGAGAGTGTGTGGGTGATCAGTGGGACAGTGGGGACGTGTGTACATCAGGTGGGTGTGTACATCAGGTGGGTGTGTACATCAGGTGGGTGTGTACATCAGGTGGGTGTGTACATCAGGTGGGTGTGTACATCAGGTGGGTGTGTACATCAGGTGGGTGATCAGTGGGACAGTGGGGTCGTGTGTACATCAGGTGGTTGTGTACATCAGGTGGGTGTGTACATCAGGTGGGTGTGTACATCAGGTGGTTGTGTACATCAGGTGGATGTGTACATCAGGTGGGTGTGTACATCAGGTGGGTGTGTACATCAGGTGGGTGTGTACATCAGGTGGGTGTGTACATCAGGTGGGTGTGTACATCAGGTGGGTGTGTACATCAGGTGGGTGTGTACATCAGGTGGGTGTGTACATCAGGTGGGTGTGTACATCAGGTGGGTGATCAGTGGGACAGTGGGGTCGTGTGTACATCAGGTGAGTGTGTACATCAGGTGGGTGTGTACATCAGGTGGGTGTGTACATCAGGTGGGTGTGTACATCAGGTGGGTGTGTACATCAGGTGGGTGTGTACATCAGGTGGGTGATCAGTGGGACAGTGGGGTCGTGTGTACATCAGGTGGTTGTGTACATCAGGTGGGTGTGTACATCAGGTGGGTGTGTACATCAGGTGGGTGTGTACATCAGGTGGGTGTGTACATCAGGTGGGTGTGTACATCAGGTGGGTGTGTACATCAGGTGGGTGTGTACATCAGGTGGGTGTGTACATCAGGTGGGTGTGTACATCAGGTGGGTGTGTACATCAGGTGGGTGTGTACATCAGGTGGGTGTGTACATCAGGTGGGTGTGTACATCAGGTGGGTGTGTACATCAGGTGGGTGTGTACATCAGGTGGGTGTGTACATCAGGTGGGTGATCAGTGGGACAGTGGGGACGTGTGTACATCAGGTGGGTATGTACATCAGGTGGGTGTGTACATCAGGTGGGTGATCAGTCGGACAGTGGGGACGTGTGTACATCAGGTGGGTGTGTACATCAGGTGTGTGTGTACATCAGGTGGGTGTGTACATCAGGTGGGTGATCAGTGGGACAGTGGGGACGTGTGTACATCAGGTTGGTGTGTAAATCAGGTGGGTGTGTACATCAGGTGGGTGTGTACACCAGGTGGGTGTGTACATCAGGTGGGTGATCAGTGGGACAGTGGGGACGTGTGTACATCAGGTGGGTGTGTACATCAGGTGGGTGATCAGTGAAACAGTGGGGACGTGTGTACATCAGGTGGGTGTGTACATCAGGTGGGTGTGTACATCAGGTGGGTGTGTACATCAGGTGGGTGATCAGTGTGACAGTGGGGACGTGTGTACATCAGGTGGGTGTGTACATCAGGTGGGTGTGTACATCAGGTGGGTGTGTACATCAGGTGGGTGATCAGTGGGACAGTGGGGACGTGTGTACATCAGGTGGGTGTGTACATTAGGTGGGTGTGTACATCAGGTGGGTGATCATTGGGACAGTGGGGACGTGTGTACATCAGGTGGGTGTGTACATCAGGTGGGTGTGTACATCAGGTGGGACAGTGGGGACGTGTGTACATCAGGTCAGTGTGTACATCAGGTCAGTGTGTACATCAGGTCAGTGTGTACATCAGGTGGGTGATCAGTGGGACAGTGGGGACGTGTGTACATCAGGTGGGTGTGTACATCAGGTGTGTGATCAGTGGGACAGTGGGGACGTGTGTACATCAGGTGGGTGTGTACATCAGGTGTGTGATCAGTGGGACAGTGGGGACGTGTGTACATCAGGTGGGTGTGTACATCAGGTCAGTGTGTACATCAGGTGGGTGTGTACATCAGGTGGGTGTGTACATCAGGTGGGTGATCAGTGGGACAGTGGGGACGTGTGTACATCAGGTGGGTGTGTACATCAGGTGGGTGTGTACATCAGGTGGGTGTGTACATCAGGTGGGTGTGTACATCAGGTGGGTGATCAGTGGGACAGTGGGGACGTGTGTACATCAGGTGGGTGTGTACATCAGGTGTGTGATCAGTGGGACAGTGGGGACGTGTGTACATCAGGTGGCTGATCAGTGGGACAGTGGGGACGTGTGTACATCAGGTGGGTGTGTACATCAGGTGGGTGTGTACATCAGGTGGGACAGTGGGGACGTGTGTACATCAGGTGGGTGTGTACATGAGGTCAGTGTGTACATCAGGTGGGTGATCAGTGGGACAGTGGGGACGTGTGTACATCAGGTGGGTGTGTACGTCAGGTGGGACAGTGGGGACGTGTGTACATCAGGTGGGTGTGTACATCAGGTGGGTGTGTACATCAGGTGGGTGTGTACATCAGGTGGGTGATCAGTGGGACAGTGGGGACGTGTGTACATCAGGTGGGTGTGTACATCAGTTGGGTGATCAGTGGGACAGTGAGGACGTGTGATCAGGTGGGTGTGTACATCAGGTGGGTGTGTACATCAGGTGGGTGATCAGTGAGACAGTGGGGACGTGTGTACATCAGGTGGGTGTGTACATCAGGTGGGTGATCAGTGGGACAGTGGGGACGTGTGTACATCAGGTGGGTGTGTACATCAGGTCAGTGTGTACATCAGGTGGGTGTGTACATCAGGTGGGTGATCAGTGAGACAGTGGGGACGTGTGTACATCAGGTGGGTGTGTACATCAGGTGTGTGATCAGTGGGACAGTGGGGACGTGTGTACATCAGGTGGGTGTGTACATCAGGTCAATGTGTACATCAGGTGGGTGTGTACATCAGGTGGGTAATCAGTGGGACAGTGGGACGTGTGTACATCAGGTGGGTGTGTACATTAGGTCAGTGTGTACATCATGTCAGTGTGTACATCAGGTGGGTGATCAGTGAGACATTGGGGACGTGTGTACATCAGGTCAGTGTGTACATCAGGTGGGTGATCAGTGGGACAGTGGGACGTGTGTACATCAGGTGGGTGTGTACATCATGTCAGTGTGTACATCAGGTGGGTGTGTACATCAGGTGGGTGATCAGTGGGACAGTGGGACGTGTGTACATCAGGTGGGTGTGTACATCATGTCAGTGTGTACATCACGTGGGTGTGTACATCAGGTGGGTGATCAGTGCGACAGTGGGGACGTGTGTACATCGGGTGGGTGTGTACATCTGGTGGGTGATCAGTGGGACAGTGGGGACGTGTGTACATCAGGTGGGTGTGTACATCTGGTGGGTGATCAGTGGGACAGTGGGGACGTGTGTACATCAGGTGGGTGTGTACATCAGGTGGGTGTGTACATCTGGTGGGTGTGTACATCAGGTGGGTGATCAGTGGGACAGTGGGGACGTGTGTACATCGGGTGAGTGTGTACATCAGGTGGGTGTGTACATCAGGTGGGTGGTCAGTGGGACATTGGGGACGTGTGTACATCAGGTGGGTGTGTACATCAGGTGGGTGATCAGTGGGACAGTGGGGACGTGTGTACATCAGGTGGGTGTGTACATCAGGTGTTTGTGTACATCAGGTGGGTGTGTACATCAGGTGGGTGATCAGTGGGATAGTGGGGACGTGTGTACATCAGGTGGGTGTGTACATCAGGTGGGTGTGTACATCAGGTGGGTGGTCAGTGGGACAGTGGGGACGTGTGTACATCAGGTGGGTGTGTACATCAGGTGGGTGATCAGTGGGACAGTGGGGACGTGTGTACATCAGGTGGGTGTGTACATCAGGTGGGTGTGTACATCAGGTGGGTGTGTACATCAGGTGGGTGTGTACATCAGGTGGGTGATCAGTGGGACAGTGGGGACGTGTGTACATCAGGTGGGTGTGTACATCATGTCAGTGTGTACATAAGGTGGGTTGTCAGTGTGTACACCTGTGTACATTAAGTGGGTCGTGATAGTACACTTGTATGGTGTTGGTGACACTTTCCATAGTATGATCGATTATATCATTACCAATTAGTGTCACGTTTTGTTATGTTGATAGAAAGGTCTGAAAACCATTTTCTAGTTTATACAGATGTGAAAATTGTGAATTGATAATTTTTGTATTATTGGGTTAACTTAAAAGTATTATTTAACACATTTGCAGCCATAAAATATCAGATTCGCGGTGACATCACTCGTGGCTACGTCATCTTCAACGAATCAACTACCTTCGTGGTGCCGCCTGACGTCACAAATGTTGACGTCATCTGTATCGGTGGAGGCGGGGGTGGGTATGACGCATGTGACAACAAACATGGCCGAAACGGCAGCGACCGCGCAGGCGCGGGAGGAACATCCGCCTTTGGGAAATACTTGAGAGCTTTCGGAGGTCAAGGCGGTTCTCAGCACGAAGGTCAGAGTTCATTCTGTTTTAAGTTTAAAGTCAATTACTTTTTATCTTATATGTATTAAAAATGTTATGGTATAGTATATAGTCTTGTCATACTAAAAATTAAAAGCGGAAATTTATAAAAGAAAATATTGAAGTGTCAAAGTTCAGGAAAACTTTATAATTTCAATTACTAAAAAGTTAAGATTTGAAAGGGTTTGTGTTGAGGGGTTAGATTTAAGGTTGGTATGTCGTTGATTTTTTTCAATAATATAAACTCGAATAAGGATTACATTAAACTTACTTTTTTTCCAATAGGGCAATTTTGAATAATATTTATTTTCAAACTAATATTTTCATTAATGTATATACAGTAGCGTAGCGAGGGGGGGGGACATATGTCCCCGGGCGCCGACCTTAGGGGGGGGGCGCCAAATTGAAAGTTAGAGGGGGGGGGTGCAAATGAAAAGTTCGAGGGGGGGTGCAAATCGAAAATTTGAGGGGGGTGCAAATGAAAAGTTCGAGGGGGGGGGGGGTGCAAATCGAAAATTTGCTCCCAAGGGGGCGCCAAATTGAAAGTATGTCCCCGGGCGCCGGGAAGGGTCGCTACGCCTCTGTGTATATATTAGCTATAAAGTACATAATAATATTCAATATTGCGGTTTCTTTTCAATTTGCCGTTTTGTGTGCAGCTGGTTAAATCAATAAAGTTACCCTTCCAAATGGTGGACAAAGGGGCAGATGAGTCCAACTGTTTCTATGACCTTAGCATATGAAGAGAGGTCAGCAATAATCTTAGACAGCCTGGTGTAAGTCAGGTACCCAATAGAGCTGGGTGAACTCGGGGAAGTCGTGTGGATTTTATTCCGGGATCCGAGCTCGAGACTTTCTGGTTAGCAGTCTAGCGCTCTACCACCCTACCCCTTGGCTAAACTTTTGTGCTAGTGTTAAATTGGAAGGGTAAACATCAGTTCAGTTTTTATGGTGAATACTTGTACAACTTGAATACCTTCAACAATAGGGCTAGTAAGTAGGTCACAAACCAGTTCTACGGCTCAATAAAACCTGCATGAGTCATAGTGTGTAACCTACTTAGCCGCCTTATTAACATAGATGTTTGACAAAAATTGAGTCCATGATTCTCTTTTTTATTTGTAACCCTGAACACAACTGTGATTTGGTGTATTTGTTTCCTACCACATCAGGCGGCCGTGGGGGGTACCGGCATGATCTTCTTTGGTGGAAGCGGCAGCCTCAGCTCCAGCTGTCTGGGCGGTGGAGCAGCCGGACAGACACATCCACCAAAGCCGTGCCAGCTGGGACAATCCACCTGCCTGTTCTGTGGCGCCGGCGGGGTCATGCCGACCTGTTCCGTCTGCCGGTTCCGGTCCGGCGGCTGCGGCGGTGCCGGAAGCGAACCGGGACAAGTGCCGGGCGCGGCTGATAACTACGGAGGCGGCGGTACGGGGTTGTTTGGTGGAGGTGGGGGAGGGGGAGGAGGGTTTTCCAGGAATCTGATTCAGGTGACCCCACGCGAGCTGATACCTATTACCATCGGGACGGCGGGGTCGCCTTCTGCTAAACCGGCGGGGGACGGGGTGGTGGTGGTGGGGTGGGGTGACCGCCTGGAGAGGCTGGTCGACGCCAAGAAAGTCTCGGAGACCACATGCAAGCCGTTCACCTACAGCTTGGCAGATAATGAGGTCGTGGAAAAGTTCAGGCAAAAATGTCTGTCATAAAATGGGGTTGTTGGTATGTCTTATGTAAAATGTACAGAATGTCTGTCATAAAAAGATGGGGATGTTAGAATGTCTTCTATAAAATGTACAGAATGTTTGTCATAAAAAGATGGGGATGTTAGAATGTCTTCTATAAAATGTACAGAATGTTTGTCATAAAAAGATGGGGATGTTAGAATGTCTTCTATAAAATGTACAGAATGTCTGTCATAAAATGATGGGGGTGTTGGTATGTCTTCTATATAATGTACAGAATGTCTGTCATAAAAAGATGGGGGTGTTAGTATGTCTTCTATATAATGTACAGAATGTCTGTCATAAAATGATGGGGGTGTTGGTATGTCTTCTATATAATGTACAGAATGTCTGTCATAAAAAGATGGGGGTGTTAGTATGTCTTCTATATAATGTACAGAATGTCTGTCATAAAATGATGGGGGTGTTGGTATGTCTTCTATATAATGTACAGAATGTCTGTCATAAAAAGATGGGGGTGTTGGTATGTTTTCTATAAAATGTACAGAATGTCTGTCATAATTAATATTGATAAAGTCGATGTCTCTATAAAATGTAAAGAATGTCTGTTTGATAATGACGATGTCTTCTATAAAATATGTATTTCTGTAACTTTGCATAATATTTTAGAACTGTTTTAGTTCAAATAAAAACTCAACGAATTAACGAAATATAGGTTTGTGATTTACATTGAGAAACGTTGACAGGGGAGTAGGTTGACTGTTTACTCGGTGGATCAGATTTGTGTTTGTCTCGAAATTTAGAGAGTTACAACAAACTATACCATCGCTAATAATATGTCATAGGTCCTAACAGAGCTTTTGAAAAAATTGTTTTTGTGTTTAATTCAATTTGTTTTTTATAATAATCATTAATTTTTAAAATGATATGTGGTTACTGAACTATCCATATATATATATATATATATATATATATATATATATATACGACAGACGACAAATAATTGTCGGTTGTTTTTAGTGGTGTAAGTTGGCTTATGTGTTAAAAACGATACTTAAGTCTTCATAGGCAAAGTGAGATTTATTCAATTTCTTTCTTTATTTTTTTAATCTTACTGAATAATTACAATGGAAATAAAAAAATGTATTCATTTGTTAAATCTGTATCTGGTGTCCATCTTTTACATATATTTTAAATATTACGTCTACATGGTACACACATCTCAATGAGCCAAGCAGTGTTTCTTCCAGACTTTTTTCTCCGGGGGGGGGGGGTACTTGAAATTTACGGGGGGGGGGGCGGTAGACTTTCTCCGGGGGGGGCGGACACTGTTAGCCCCCCCCCCCCCCCCGAAGAGATGCCTGGAAGAAACTCTGGAGCCAAGCAAATCAAAGCAAGCTTATGTGACGGGGGGGGGGTATGGGTGAACAGATTGTAGAAATTATAGGCTGGTAAAAAAAAAGGCTATGAATGCTTTTTAAATAGCATTTTCAGTCTTACTTTGATCGAATAGTTCGGATAGTTAAGATTATGATGTTGATTTGGTACTTCTAAATGTAATATTGTTTAACAAGAGTTAAAAGGTGCATACGTTTATCGTTAATTTGATATTTAGTTTCTTTTTCAAAGTAATTTGTAGGCTAGACATTATTTTTTTTTAAAAGCAAGCGTTAATAATAAGCAATATGATATAGTGCTAAAGTCTTGTAATAATGTTGTAATAATATCGCAATCTAAATCAATAAATGCGTTTTCTTTTTAAACAATAATGTTTAGAAGAATCAACAAATTATCACGCTTAATATTTCAAACTATTTTCAAACATTTATTTTAGTGCTTTAATTCTTCATATACAATCTCTTTAAACGAAGATGAGCTAGGTTCTAGATGACAAAATAAAACTAGGAATAAATTAAAGACCAATTAATAAATGAATTGCTTGCGGCTCGTGACGTCATCTGTGACGTCATGATTATGTATTTCCTGTGGGTTGAACTCTAAATCTGTAACAAGGTAGTTATCTAAGTTAGCGCCGCAGTCGTTGGAATCGTTCGAGGCATCTGAAGTATTTCTGGCACTCGAATTATTTGAGGCGTCAGAATCGTTAAGGTCGCCAGAAGAATTTGAGGCGACTAATGCATTTACAGAAGAAGTATTTCTTTTGCATAAAGCATTTACAGAAGTATTAGTGGCGTCTAATGCATTATCAGAAGAAGTATTTCTGTTGTATAAAGCATTTGCAGAAGTATTTATGTCGCATAAAGCAATTACAGAAGTTTTTGTGGCGACTGATGCATTTACAGAAGAAGAATTTGTATCGCATAAATCAATTACAGAAGTATTTGTAGCGACTGATGCATTTGCAGAAGAAGTATTTCTGTTGCATAAAGCATAATCAGAAGTATTTGTGGCGACTGATGCATTTGCAGAAGAAGTATTACTGTTGCATAAAGCGTATCGCACAACTGAAGCATTTGGTGCAACAAAAATGAACTGCCCCGTGTCTGATTCTGATTCTTGAACTTCCCCGCTTCGGTACCCAGATGAGTCTTCATTCAGGTTCACCAATTCCCCATCGTATACGTATTCCGAGGTGGTTTCATCGTCCGAATCATCATCCCCTTTGCTACTTTCTTCATCTTCTTCTTCGTCATTTGCTGGGATACTAATTACTGCTGAAGTGTAGTTCATGCGTTCTGGTGTGAATTTATTTTTCGCTTCGACACACAATCTGAAAATAAAATGTTTTTATATGTCTAGTGGCTTATCACCCAGATCTGCATGCTTAAAGCTGCTCCCAAACACAGCTATCTGTCCATACCGTCCATGTTTCATTGGTTTACGTATCTCACGTGATTTGATACCATATATGGAAGAAGCCTTGGGCGACTTTTGACCTTCACATACTAACACAGCAGAACTAACAAGATACTGATCACGTCGAGAAAATTTGACCAATACACACACACATAGCACACACACACACACACACACATATATATATATGTATATATATATATACATATATATTTAATAAACCGATGTGTATGAGGAAATAAATATAAATAAATGAGAGATCAATAAATAATTGTTTTGCTTGGAGTAAAAGTTATTGTCTAAGTGATTTAAAGACAAAGTACCATGAACCGCATGAATTATTATTTGAAGTGTTAAGACGCCCGAAGTGATCGTGGGCCTGATGATATTTCTGGTACCAGGCGTATTAATGGCGCCAGAAGTTTAGGTGTCTTCTGAAGCATTTAGGACGAGTAAATTTAAAAATGTGTCTGAAATAAATGTGTCATCTGAAGCATTTAGGACAGGTAAATTAAAAAATGTGTCGTCTGAAATAAATGTGTCATCTGAAGCATTTTGGACAGGTAAATTAAAAAATGTGTCGTCTGAAATAAATGTGTCATCTGAAGCATTTAGGACAGGTAAATTTAAAAATGTGTGTGAATTTAATGTGTCGTCTGAAATATGTGTGTCGTCTGAAATAAATGTGTCGTCTGAAATAAATGTGTCATCTGAAGCATTTAGGACAGGTAAATTAAAAAATGTGTCGTCTGAAATAAATGTGTCATCTGAAGCATTTAGGACAGGTAAATTAAAAAATGTGTCGTCTGAAATAAATGTGTCATCTGAAGCATTTTGGACAGTTAAATTTAAAAATGTGTCTGAAATAAATGTGTCGTCTGAAATATGTGTGTCGTCTGAAATAAATGTGTCATCTGAAGCATTTTGGACAGTTAAATTTAAAAATGTGTCTGAAATAAATGTGTCGTCTGAAACATGTGTGTCGACTGAAGCATTTACGACGACAAAAGTAACTGTTTCTTCTGGAGTATTATTGACGTCTAAAGCATTTCGGTCACTTGAAGTAAACGTGGCTTCTGGAGTATTATAGACGTCTGAAGTATTTATATCGTTTACAGTATCTAATTCTGTTGCATATGAGCTCTGTAATAAGCTGTATTGTTGTTTTGCTTCGCCGCAGATTCTGAAAATAAAATGTTTTTAGAAGTCTAGTGGCTTTCAACTAGATCTATTTCAGTGGCTTAGCTAGGATTTTCGGGCCCCAATTGCAAAAAATATCATTGGGCCCCTTCGTCAATTTGTAAAATGTGTATGTCATACGTCCTAACTGTGTATTTATACGGTGTTATTATGCGGTACCCCGTAACGTAAAACACATTTGATTGTACATCACGTTTATGTAAAAGCAAACTAACAAATTAACATTTAAGTAACCTAACACATTAGCGTCACAAGGCGGGGGTGAATGTGTTACAATTTAGGCGTGACACCATGACGAAAACTCGTAAAATTTACTGTCAAAACATGTTTTATCCAGTTTAAATAATAAAATATTAAGGAAAGGGGCTAACACTCCACCGGAAATGCTAAATTCTTGGAGGGGGTGTGGGTTGGGTGACACTCACTAAACGCACCGTGTGGTATCGAACCTTGTGACGCCACTAACCAAACACAATTTTTTAAAAGTTGCTAATCATTTCTTTAGATTTGTTGTTTTTTTTTTCCTTTCAAGTTTGCAACGATTAATATTTTCCTTGAGGTCCATTTTATCTGCTTTTGTATGTTCGATACTAAGAATGGCTAAGTTACTGACCCAAAGGGCATATCTACTATTTGTTTCATAACATCATCATAATCGAGCGAATCATGGTGCCCAACCGTATAGGCTATATTGTCTAGACTCTTGATCATACCCCTAGTAGCTATCCCTATGTCATGGCGCTCATTAAAACAAGTATATGTGCCGTAGTGCTCACATGGGAACCCACGGAGCCGGTCGGTGCACCTTGCAGTTTGGCCATTGAATAAAGCAGTAACCCTAACCCCTTGTGCAGGATGCCCAATCAACTGACCCCAGGTGCTAAGAAAGTCGCTGGGAAACTCTGGGTGACAAACCGAACGAAACAAAGACAACATTAATCGCAGAAAACTTTACAGAAGTTTCTTTTTGGCTTCTATCTGAGGGGGAGGCACTCCTCGTGTGTGGGGTTGTGAAGAAAATTTCAAGGTCAGATGAAATATGTTTGAAGTATTCTAAACTATTTCCCAGTGTTTCATGGCGATTGGTTCAGTTTTGTGTTAATGCATAAAGGACAGGCAGACAGACAAACAAAAATCTTTTAGTAGTGGCATATTTTTAACGATAAATTAGATCAACAACAAAAAAATCTATTAAGATTAAAACTAGCAGAAAAACATTGACAAATGTTGGACTTAGCTTGTTGTGAAAACACTGTCCACAGCTGTTATTTAAAAAAAGGCTAAATTGTAATCATGAATGGATGGAATGTCGGTGAGGACAGACAGTTGAGAGAGAGAGAGAGAGAGAGAGAGAGGAAGTAAAGGTTTGTGGGGGCTAGGTAGAGAATTTCCCAGCCACTTAAGTTTTGTAGCGATGCTTGTAAATTTACGGGTGCCGGATGCCTATCTCACAAAAGAGTCAATATTCAAGTTTATTTATATTCTAACTCTCTCAACGGCTTTCCCGACAATGCAACAGCGCCTGTAGTGTTATTAATACCGATGGGCCCTATACGACCCCCCCCCCCCATTCCACAATGAATGCCACTACCTCTACAGTTAGAAAGGTCGGAGGGGTGGGCTTTTAAGAACTTTTTTTTCCTACAGTAGAAAAAAAACTGGATTTCCGTTTTCTTTTTGAAATTATTTTTATAAAACAAATATTAAAATTCCAATGTAAAAGTTATAATTTTCTTTAAAGAGGGAAAAGGGCCCCTATTTTCCCTGGGCCCGTATGCCATGCTTTAAGGTAGCTACGCCACTGATCTACTTACTTAAGGCTGCTCCCGAACACTTCTATCACTCCATACCATCTTTGTTTCACCGCTTACCCCTCCTACGTCACTTGATACATAATATAGAAGAGGTCTTAGACAACCTTTGACCCCAGCATACCAACACAGCAGAATGAACCGGACACTGGTGACATGGACAACCTTTGACCCCAACTTATCAGAACCTTTGACCCCAACACATCAACACATCAGAACCAACCTTTGACTACAATACATCAGAACCTTTGACCCCAACACATCAGAACCTTTGACCCCAACACACCAACACAACAGAACCTTTGACTCCAACACATCAACACATCAGAATCTTTGACCCCAACACATCAATATATCAGAACCTTGGACCCCAACTCATCAGAACCTTTGACCCCAACACATCAGAACCTTTGACCCCAACACATCAGAACCTTTGACCCCAACACATCAGAACCTTTGACCCCAACACACCAACACATCAGAACCTTTGACCCTAACACACCAACACATCACATCCTTTGACCCCAACACATCAGAACATTTGACCCCAACACACCAACACAACAGAACCTTTGACCCCAACACATCAGAACCTTTGACCGCAACACATCAACACATCAGAAGCTTGGACCCAACACATCAGAACCTTTGATCCTAACACACCAACACATCAGAACCTTTGACCCCAACACACCAACACATCAGAACCTTTGACCCCAACACATCAGCACATCAGAACCTTTGACCCCAACACATCAGCACATCAGAACCTTTGACCCCAACACATCAGAACCTTTGACCGCAACACAACAGAATGAACAACGAGTACCTGTAGAGTTTGTGGATTCCCAGACCGATGACCGGCACAAGGGCAAGTAATGACAGCAAGGACAGCATAAACGATACAACTGTCTCTAGAGAAATGAGTCATGTGTAACATTAGACAAACGCAAGTCCAGTTGTTACGAATGTAATTTAAGTATTTATAACGATTGAAAAAGTATGTTTTTGAGGCAAGCTTTCCCAACGCGTCTTCATCTGTAGTAGATGTCTTTACTTTTTAAAACATAAACGTTTAAAAAGGATAATGCAAAACCTCAAAATATAAAAATAATATGAAAATTATATTTTCGCATAGTTTAAACATAACATTGTCGCTCATGTAATCTCTTTAACATTAATGGTGACTAACGCTTTTACTATTACATCAAAGAAAGAATTTCTAATGCCTTTAAAATATTAAAGTACTAAATCGACAAACTTACTTGTTCTGTTTTCTGGTGGGGGACATCGACCATACAGGACCAACTTATTCTCTGGGTAGGGAAAAAGAAAATCTTTAATACATAATTGTACAACGAAACGTTGCTGTGGAGGTTGGGGGAGGGGGGGCTGACGATTTGTTAGAAGGAAGCAGGGGGCGTTTAAGAAGATAAAGTTGTAAGTAAGTTGTAAAGATGGATGCATAAATACTTGATCCCGGCTTTGTTGAGTGTTAAACAGAGATTGGCAATGTTTTCTTGATATATTACCTCACGAACAAAACAAATCAATAAATAAATTATACATAGAAATGCCGGTATTCAATAAAGAAGTAGTGAATGGGGGGAGGTGGAGGGAAGTCTATGGGGAATTTTACACAACGATATCAACAATAGGGAAACTTAGAGAGTAGTCAAAAACATCGTAGTACCATAATAAATGGTACATGTACACAAACCACTCTCACTCAATAAAACATTGTACATGTACACAAACCATTCTCACACCATAAAGCATTGTACATGTACACAAACCATTCTCACACCATAACATGTAGCCTACCCCAACACCCCCCCCCCCCCACCAACACCAAGTCTCCGACAAATACCTATGTAGGTCTGTAGACACGATGTCCAGATGACTTGACTTGAAATATTTGACTTGGACAACTTGACTGACACGCCAAACTGGTGCAGCTGAGCCTCTGCCAATGTCAAGTTGTTGACTTGATATGTCAAGTTCTGAGTGTCAAGTCTAGCCCAGTTTATTTCGTTCTGGGAAAAAATGCAAGATTTGATCAACCTTTATAACAATAGTTATAAGCAATTTTTTTTTACAGACAATATATTATGTCAGATTTTTTATCAGTTATAACAATAGTTAAATTAATTAATAATTAAATTAGCAATATTTGTATACGCAAAATTGGGGGGGGGGGGGGGAATTCCAACATTAAAAAAAAACTAAATTGCGATTGTGAGGTAAGTCTGCCTAAAATTGAATGAGCAGTTGTTGTTTTTTTTTTACATTGCAGATTAAACTATCTGGTTATTTGGTTTTTTTCTTAATTCTTCATTCCGGGTGAGTGGATTTATAAATCTTTACTCGGCCTTTTTTCGCCGATAGTTTGAGAATTATTTATATTTTAGTTTTGATAGTTTTAAGGGGGAAGGCTCCGGTAAAAAAAAAACTGTTTTTAATACTCGTTAGAAAACAGTTATTTCTTTACAGCTTTATTAAGATACATCTGCACATGCATTTCCATGCCCCAAATTTCCCCAAAATTTAAGTGTTTTGAACGGACACAAATTTTGAAAATTCATAATAAATTATTTTGAAGATATGCACTTAAAATTTTTAGCTGAGTGCCCCAAAATATGGAAGAAGATTATGAATTCATTATTTATTAGGCTTAAAATATAATATTTTATGGATGGTGGAAAACCTACGAAGGGGTTAATTTTTCAAGATTGACGCCGTTGTCATAGTTACCAATATTTTTTCCACGAATTTTTTACTGGAAATACATATGCGGATGTATCTTAATAAAGCTGTAAAGAAATAACTGTTTTCTAACGAGTATTTAAAAGGTTTTTTTTTTTAACCGGAGCCCCCCCCCCCCCCTTAAAAATACCACTATTACTAAGGGATTTTTTTTTATCAGCGGTATACCACTGTAGAAGGGGAGGGCGGTGAGGCTATTGTGACGAGTGGGCAGGTGGATTTTAGAAGTGTGACGTACCACTTGTTTTGAATTTCTAAAGGGCAAAAATAACTCAAAGCTTTTTTTTTAAATTACTATTGTATGGGTGAGGGGCGAGTTTTGCGAATCTATTTTAGGAGGGTCTGGGGGGTCTGGAGGGTCTGGATTTTGAGACTTTTGAGAGAGGTGTGGGAGGAGTACAACAATCCCTATATTTAGCTAAGGCCATTTATAGACGACTCCCTCCCCACCCCAGTGACGTAGCGAGGGCGGGGCGGCGGACCGCACCGGGTGACACCATTTAGAGGGGGGGGGGGGGTGACACCATGGCAAAAAATTGCAAAATAAACAGAAGAAAACAGCTTTTGCCAGTTGCATTAACGATTAATTACGCCGCATTTATTAAAATTATAAGCCTATGTAGTCCGACACACACATACACACACACACACACACAAATATATATATATATATATATATATATATATATATATATATATATATATATATATATATATATATATATATATATATATATATATATATATATATATATATATATATATATATATATATATATATATATATATATATATATATATATATATATATATATATATATATATATATATATATATATATATATATATATATATATATATATATATATATATATGTATGTATATGCATATATGTATATATATATATACTTTGTTTCTTGGGGGGGGGGGGGGTGACACCACGAAGTGCCGCACCGGGTGACACTGGTCCTAGCGACGCCACTGCCCCACCCTATAGAACAATGAGTTACATTTTCCCCCTGAAAATGCCCTGTAACTGAGTGTATCTGAGACGCCCCCCACCTAGTCGCTAGGGTAAGACCAACCTGGCAAACGTCCATCCCATTCGACTGCTTGCACCAAAGAACCACTGGCCACACGTCCACGCCCCCTGCGAGTGACCAGCTGACCGTCACGCTCCCGTGGTCCCACGTGGCCGTCACGTTGAATGGCAAGATTTCTTCTGTCAAAATTTTAAAATTATCGAAGTGAGTAAAAAAAAAAAGCACTGCACTCGTTTTAAAATAGTTTAATTAATCGAAGTGACAACGTGAAAATATTCCTAATTAGTTTTTACAGTTTTCAGTTCTTTAACTTAAAACAAACATTTCTTTGAAGTAAGAAATATTATTTATTTTCTACCGATGTTGACAGATAGTAGATAAATCACGACACTCATTTTGTTGAAGTAAACAAAAGCGATGATTCGTATTTTTTGGAGGCCATCTTTACCATACAGCCGTCGACGGAAAAATATGTTACAAGTACCAGACAGCCTATTCTCAAACTCAATCATATAGGTTTAAACATAATGGACGGCGTAGTTGAATGGTAGCTTTGCTAAAAATAATGGGATGGCGTGGTCGAATTACAGAGCATGCCACAACTAACCCGGAAGTCTCGAGTTCGAATCCGGGTTCAAGTCAGTAAAACGTCTGATGGGTACCTGACTCACGTTAGGGAAAGTAAAGACGGCTGGGCATAGTGCTGACCACACTATCTCTTCATATGCCGAGGTCATAAAAACAGGTGAGCTCTACTTCACTTGCCCCATGGACCGTGAGGCTCAAAAGGGAATTTTACTTAATTAAACTTAATACCGTATGTTTTTGTTATTAAATGTATCCTACATATTAGTTACCTGCTAAGTATTCAAAAGTCCAGCGTTTGTATAAGATAACCTACCCCACCCACCCCCACCAAGCCTTGTCTGTTTTATCTAACAACACGACATACTCAACACGCACCCCATGCACGTGCGTGTACTCACTCTCAAGGACCGCCAGCATGTAGGAGCTCCACTCACACCTCGCCTCCCCGTGGACGTTCCTCGGGACTACCCTCACCTGCGTCACGCCGGTCAGGCTGACCGGCACGTGCGCCTGCGTCACGTGACTAGCCACAGAGCCCACCTGCCGCCAGGGGTCAGGTGAGTGACCGCGTGAGTAAACGACGTAGCCCAGGGCGGTGGCGCTCTGCCAGATCTGTGGGGGTGGGGACTGAAACACACGACCAGGAACTTGTTTTTATTCAATAAGAATTTTTCCAGACAGAATTTGTTTTATATAACAATACCCTCCCCAACACCCCCCCCCTTTCCCCCAAAAAAAATTGCATGATGAAATGATGTAACTTCCCAGGAAATTGTTTTTTTTTTGTGTGATTTGGTTTTTTAATTAATTTTTTTTTCTTAATTAGTATGTTGAAATACATTCACGTAATTAATTTTCTTTAAAAACTGCAACGCCTTCCATAATTATGCATGGGGAAATCCCCGTACTAAATGAATTATTATATAACATGTTTCCAAATTATAAATTATAAATACTTCTATAACATTTGTCTTAAATACGCCCAATGAAGCCAGCTTTACCTGCCAGTAAATAATGCCCTCTGGTGGTTGCTTGGTGACCAGGATGTTGTAGGCATCTGTTCCCTCCTGTGTGTAACAAAGTGGGATGTCTGGTGGGAGGGATGGGGTTAAATTTTAGGTTAGACACATTAGAACCAAGAGTTATGGTTGCATGACTTTATAACAAAAATAAAACTGCAGTTTGGGCACCAAATTATTAAGAGGTTCTCGATTTTCTTACCCAATCAATTGTTAATCAGACACACACAACTTATTCTCATTGCTATCGTCTCAGAAAACTTGGAAGTCGAAGATCATCAATATAATTAGTCTCAATTACAAGTAATATGGTGGAGAGCAATAATGGTTTTATTTTAAAACAAATGTGTGTGCGTTAGACTATCAGATTGTTTCAATACCGTTACAATTTTGTTTTATTATTAAGAACGGAATCTAAAAATATGTGATGATTTTTTTTAAAATATCTCTGCATAGTTTTTTCAATAAAAATCTTTTCTAAAAAAAATTAAAATGGTTAAAGATCAGGATGCGTTTTGAACACAACGATCTCAGTATTTTGGATTTCTGAGAAAGGGCCTTCAGCAGTTGTAGCAGTAAGAAAAATAACCTTCGGCAGTTGTAGCGGTCAGAAAACTCGCCTTCGGCAGTTATAGCAGTAAGAAAACTCACCTTCAGCAGTTGTAGCGGTCAGAAAACTAACCATCGGCAGTTGTAGCAGTAAGAAAAATAACCTTCGGCAGTTGTAGCAGTAAGAAAACTCACCTTCAGCAGTTGTAGCGGTCAGAAAACTAACCATCGGCAGTTGTAGCAGTAAGAAAAATAACCTTCGGCAGTTGTAGCAGTAAGAAAAATAACCATCGGCAGTTGTAGCGGTCAGAAAACTCGCCTTCGGCAGTTATAGCAGTAAGAAAACTCACCTTCAGCAGTTGTAGCGGTCAGAAAGCTAACCATCGGCAGTTGTAGCAGTAAGAAAAATAACCTTCGGCAGTTGTAGCAGTAAGAAAACTCACCTTCAGCAGTTGTAGCGGTCAGAAAACTAACCATCGGCAGTTGTAGCAGTAAGAAAAATAACCTTCGGCAGTTGTAGCAGTAAGAAAAATAACCTTCAGCAGTTGTAGCAGTAAGAAAACTAACCATCGGCAGTTGTAGCAGTAAGAAAAATAACCTTCGGCAGTTGTAGCAGTAAGAAAAATAACCTTCGGCAGTTGTAGCAGTAAGAAAAATAACCTTCAGCAGTTGTAGCAGTAAGAAAACTAACCATCGGCAGTTGTAGCAGTAAGAAAAATAACCTTCGGCAGTTGTAGCAGTAAGAAAAATAACCATCGGCAGTTGTAGCAGTAAGAAAAATAACCTTCAGCAGTTGTAGCAGTAAGAAAAATAACCTTCGGCAGTTGTAGCAGTAAGAAAAATAACCTTCGGCAGTTGTAGCGGTCAGAAAACTAACCATCGGCAGTTGTAGCAGTAAGAAAAATAACCTTCGGCAGTTGTAGCAGTAAGAAAAATAACCTTCGGCAGTTGTAGCGGTCAGAAAACTAACCATCGGCAGTTGTAGCAGTAAGAAAAATAACCTTCGGCAGTTGTAGCGGTCAGAAAACTAACCATCGGCAGTTGTAGCAGTAAGAAAAATAACCTTCGGCAGTTGTAGCAGTAAGAAAAATAACCTTCGGCAGTTGTAGCGGTCAGAAAACTAACCATCGGCAGTTGTAGCAGTAAGAAAAATAACCTTCGGCAGTTGTAGCAGTAAGAAAAATAACCTTCGGCAGTTGTAGCGGTCAGAAAACTAACCATCGGCAGTTGTAGCAGTAAGAAAAATAACCTTCGGCAGTTGTAGCAGTAAGAAAAATAACCTTCGGCAGTTGTAGCGGTCAGAAAACTAACCATCGGCAGTTGTAGCAGTAAGAAAACTCGCGTTCAACAGTTGTAGCATTTAGAAAACTCGCCTTCAGCAGTTGTAGCAGTAAAAAATAACTCACATTCAGCAGTTGTGGCAGTAAGAAAACTAACCTTCAGCAGTTGTAGCAGTCAGAAAACCCGCCTCGCTCCACACGGAGCTTGTGTGACCTCGACGTCTGACGCTGATGTAGTATCTGGTGTAGGACGTAAGTTCGCAGAGTGTGACGTCACGAAGGTCTTCTTTGAACGTCTAAGTTTTTTTAAAGGGAATAGGTATTGCTTAAAGTTAGGATATATCTATGGGAGAAAATATGGGATAATGGGATAAAATCATTGGGAGAGAATAGGGAGGGAGGGGGGGAATATTGGAAAGAATAAAAGAAATGCACGGAATATGGGATAGAATAGGAAAAAATATGGGATAGAATAGGACGAAATATGGGATAGAATAAGACGAAATATGGGATAGAATAAGACGAAATATGGGATAGAATAAGACGAAATATGGGATAGAATAAGACGAAATATGGAATAGAATAAGACGAAATATGGGAAAGAATAAGACGAAATATGGGATAGAATAAGACGAAATATGGGATAGAATAAGACGAAATATGGAATAGAATAAGACGAAATATGGAATAGAATAAGACGAAATATGGGAAAGAATAAGACGAAATATGGGATAGAATAAGACGAAATATGGGATAGAATAAGACGAAATATGGAATAGAATAAGACGAAATATGGAATAGAATAAGACGAAATATGGGAAAGAATAAGACGAAATATGGGATAGAAAAGGAAGAAATATGGGATAAAATAAGACGAAATATGGGAAAGAATAAGACGAAATATGGGGTAGAATAAGACGAAATATGGGATAGAATAAGACGAAATATGGGATAAAATAAGACGAAATATGGAATAGAATAAGACGAAATATGGGAAAGAATAAGACGAAATATGGGATAGAAAAGGAAGAAATATGGGATAGAATGAGACAAAATATGAGATAGAATAAGACGAAATATGGGGTAGAATAAGACGAAATATGGGATAGAATAAGACGAAATATGGGATAGAATATGGGAAATCTGTGGGATGGGGCTCATCAATGAGGAAAACTGCACTAACCGCCATCCCACAATGCCCTAAGAAGTGTACAACTCTACGATCTAAGTCGTTGGTTTCTTCTTCTTCGTTCTTAATTTTTAGTGTTGGAAAGGATCGAGCCTTATCTGCAAGAGGGTTCGAACTCGAGACTTTTCGGTTTAGCAACCATGAGCTTTACCGACTCGACCACGCCGACCCCCAAACGTTGGTTTGATTCTACTGCTGTTCTGACAACAAACGCATCGATCTATCACCAGAGGAGGAAAGGTACAACTGAAGATACAACTTCAGCATTTACCCTGTTCTAACGTCATATTAGATTACGGACAAGAATTTTTAGAAGCACTTTATTTTTAAAATAGCTTTTAAAATGGAAGCAACGAAGACGCCATCTTACTTGTGTGGTTTCTATTGACTCCCAGCTGGATGTGTAGGATACTTCGTTGACTTCCGGCTCAAAAGACTCAAACTCTACTGCCCAGTTGAGTGTGACGCAGGAAGTGTTGGCACCAAGCAGTCTCAGGTCAACAGGAGGGGTCAATTGCACTAATGGATTTTTTTTTAATTTCTTAATTAATTACCAATGAAGTGACTGAAATATTATACATCCTGTTTAAAGTGTATTGCCTAAGTCAAGAGCGCAAATTATTTGCTATTTCACAATAACCAATAACAATCTTGAATGGAGCTCGATTCTGATAATTTCTTCGAGGCAATTTGTTTTGTTTTTAAAATACTAATACTTTACGTTGCATAACGACAACATCTTAACAGTATTTTAATAAACATAACATTGTTAATTTACATGTTCTCTCTTAAGGGAGAGCCCCTTACACTTGAGTCTATACTTGGTTTAGATGACTAATTGCTTTTTTTTAATTGTCTTTTTAAATTATGATAATTTAGAGACGAAATCTGCCTCTTATTACTTATGGAATATGGGTCAATGATGAACCATGATGACGTCACGGTCGCTTCCTGCGCCGGCGTGAACTTCCGCGAGGTGTTGAAGCGCATGCGCACTGAGATATTGTACCAGCAGTCCATGAGGAATATGCTGTCGTAGGTTAACTGGAGAGTGCACTGGTCAATGGCCTCACATGGGAGTATCTGTTCTTCCTCGTCACCACATCTGGTGAGACAAACATGTATCACACACGGTCATTTGGTGAGACATGTATCACACAAGGTCATTTGGTGAGACAAACATGTATCACATAAGGTCATTTGGTGAGACATGTATCACAAGGGCATTTGGTGAGACATGTATCACACAAGGTCATTTGGTGAGACATGTATCACACAAGGTCATTTGGTGAGACATGTATCACACAAGTCATCTGGTGAAACACGTATCACACAAGGTCATTTGGTGAGACAAATATGTATCACACAGGTCATTTGGTGAGACATATATCACACAAGGTCATTTGGTGAGACAAATATGTATCACACAGGTCATTTGGTGAGACATGTATCACACAAGGTCATTTGGTGAGACATGTATCACACAAGGTCATTTGGTGAGACAAACATGTATCACATAAGGTCATTTGGTGAGACATGTATCACACAAGGTCATTTGGTGAGACAAATATGTATCACACAGGTCATTTGGTGAGACAAATATGTACCACACAGGTCATTTGGTGAGACAAATACGTATCACACAGGTCATTTGGTGAGACAAATATGTATCACATAGGTCATTTGGTGAGACAAATATGTATCACACAGATCATTTGGTGAGACATGTATCACATAAGGTCATTTGGTGAGACAAACATGTATCACACAGGTCATTTGGTGAGACAAACATGTATCACATAAGGTCATTTGGTGAGACAAGTATCACATAAGGTCATTTGGTGAGACAAATATGTATCACATAGGTCATTTGGTGAGACAAACATGTATCACACAGGTAATTTGGTGAGACATGTATCACACAAGGTAATTTGATGAGACAAATATGTATCACACAGGTCATTTGGTGAGACAAATATGTATCACACAGGTCATTTGGTGAGACAAATATGTATCACACAAGGTCATTTGGTGAGACAAACATGTATCACAAGGTCATTTGGTGAGACAAATATGTATCACACAGATCATTTGGTGAGACATATATCACACAAGATCATTTGGTGAGACAAATATGTATCACATAAGGTCATTAGGTGAGACAAACAGCGCCTGTTTGACACTGGTAAACAGCAGACAATAGACTCTCCCAAAAAAGGGTGTGTTAGGTTGTTAGTAGTATTGTAAACAAGAACCCGAAGACGTGCACACACAAGACAACACACAACTTTGACGGTCGGTGTTCGGAGCTAACTTCCAAACATAGACACACGTGTTTCCTTACAGGGGTACGGCTGGCTTCCTCCTCAGCTCTGAGGTGACGAGATCTGATTTGGAAAATTCTGGAACTGCCCAGCTGCACGTGAGTACGTCATTTTCGCCAGCTGTGACTGTACACGTGGGGGTGAGTGGCTCCAGTGGTACTGTGGGGAATAATATGGTAGTACATGGTGATCTATGGTGACATGGGTGTTGATAGGGAATAGTGGTGGCATGGACGTCTATTGTGAATAATGGTGGTATGAACGTCTATAGGTGTACAGACACAGTGATGGGTGTACAGACACAGTGATGGGTGTACAGACACGGTGATGGGTGTACACAGTGATGGGTGTACAGACACAGTGATGGGTGTACACAGTGATGGATGTACAGACACAGTGATGGGTGTACAGACACAGTGATGGGTGTACAGACACAGTGATGGGTGTACACAGTGATGGGTGTACAGACACAGTGATGGGTGTACACAGTGATGGGTGTACAGACACAGTGATGGGTGTACACAGTGATGGATGTACAGACACAGTGATGGGTGTACAGACACAGTGATGGGTGTACACAGTGATGGGTGTACAGACACAGTGATGGGTGTACACGGTGATGGGTGTACAGACACAGTGATGGGTGTACAGACACAGTGATGGGTGTACACAGTGATGGATGTACAGACACAGTGATGGGTGTACAGACACAGTTATAGGTGTACACAGTGATGGGTGTACAGACACAGTGATGTGTATACAGACACAGTGATGGGTGTACAGACACATTGATGGGTGTACACGGTGATGGGTGTACAGACACCGTGATGGGTGTACAGACACAGTGATGGGTGTACACAGTGATGGATGTACAGACACAGTGATAGGTGTACAGAGACAGTGATGGGTGTACAGACACAGTGATGTGTATACAGACACAGTGATGGGTGTACAGACACATTGATGGGTGTACACAGTGATGGGCGTACAGACACAGTGATGGGATTACAGACACAGTGATGTGTGTACAGACACAGTGATGGGTGTACAGACACAGTGATGGGTGTACAGACACAGTGATGGGTGTACACAGTGATGGGTGTATAGACACAGTGATGGGCGTACAGACACAGTGATGGGTGTACAGACACAGTGATGGGTGTACACAGTGATGGGTGTACAGACACAGTGATGGGTGTACACAGTGATGGGTGTACAGACACCGTGATTGGTGTACAGACACAGTGATGGGTGTACACGGTAATGGATGTACAGACACAGTGATGTGTATACAGACACAGTGATGTGTATACAGACACAGTGATGGGTGTACAGACACATTGATGGGTGTACACAGTGATGGGCGTACAGACACAGTGATGGGATTACAGACACAGTGATGGGTGTACAGACACAGTGATGTGGATACAGACACAGTGATGGGTGTACAGACACATTGATGGGTGTACACAGTGATGGGTGTATAGACACAGTGATGGGCGTACAGACACAGTGATGGGATTACAGACACAGTGATGGGTGTACACAGTGATGGGTGTACAGACACCGTGATTGGTGTACAGACACAGTGATGGGTGTACACGGTGATGGATGTACAGACACAGTGATGGGTGTACAGACACAGTTATAGGTGTACACAGTGATGGGTGTACAGACACAGTGATGTGTATACAGACACAGTGATGGGTGTACAGACACATTGATGGGTGTACACAGTGATGGGTGTATAGACACAGTGATGGGCGTACAGACACAGTGATGGGATTACAGACACAGTGATGGGTGTACACAGTGATGGGTGTACAGACACCGTGATTGGTGTACAGACACAGTGATGGGTGTACACAGTGATTGGTGTACAGACACAGTGATGGGTGTACACAGTGATGGATGTACAGACACAGTGATGGGTGTACACAGTGATGGATGTACAGACACAGTGATGGGTGTACAGACACAGTGATGGGTGTACAGACACAGTGATGGGTGTACAGACACGGTGATGGGTGTACACAGTGATGGGTGTACAGACACAGTGATGGGTGTACACAGTGATGTGTATACAGACACAGTGATGGGTGTACAGACACATTGATGGGTGTGCAGACACAGTGATGGGTGTACAGACACAGTGATGGGTGTACAGACACAGTGAAGGGTGTGCAGACACAGTGATGGGTGTACACAGTGATGGATGTACAGACACAGTGATGGGTGTACAGACACAGTGATGTGTATACAGACACAGTGATGGGTGTACAGACACATTGATGGGTGTGCAGACACCGTGATGGGTGTACAGACACAGTGATGGGTGTACAGACACAGTGATGGGTGTGCAGACACAGTGATGGGTGTACAGACACAGTGATGGGTGTACAGACACAGTGAAGGGTGTGCAGACACAGTGATGGGTGTACACAGTGATGGATGTACAGACACAGTGATGGGTGTACACAGTGATGGATGTACAGACACAGTGATGGGTGTGCAGACACAGTGATGGGTGTACAGACACAGTGATGGGTGTACAGACACAGTGAAGGGTGTGCAGACACAGTGTGATGGGTGTACAGGAACGATGATGGGTGTATAGGCCTTTAGAGTGATGAAAGTTGACATGAAGATTAACGTTGAGAAGATATCCTACGGTCATACACCCCATGACATGCACTCCGTTACCTAGAAGATATGATATTCAGGACATGACATCTGCAACCATTCATTCGCCTCATGACATAAATGTCATGCACCCCGTGACATTTAGCAGCTTGCCGCTCACTTCATGACATTTAGCAACCTGCTGTTCACTTCATGACATTTAGCAACCTGCTGTTCACTTCATGACATTTAGCAACCCGCTGTTTACTTCATGACATTTAGCAACATGCTGTTCAATTCATTATATTTAGCAACCTACCGTTCACTTCCTGACATTTAGCAACCTACCGTTAACTTCATGACATTTAGCAACCTGCCGTTCACTTCATGACATTTAGCAACCTGCTGTTCACTTCATGACATTTAGCAACCCGCTGTTTACTTCATGACATTTAGCAACATGCTGTTCAATTCATTATATTTAGCAACCTACCGTTCACTTCCTGACATTTAGCAACCTACCGTTAACTTCATGACATTTAGCAACCTGCCGTTCACTTCATGACATTTAGCAACCTGCTGTTCACTTCATGACATTTAGCAACCCGCTGTTTACTTCATGACATTTAGCAACATGCTGTTCAATTCATTATATTTAGCAACCTACCGTTCACTTCCTGACATTTAGCAGCCTACCGTTAACTTCATGACATTTAGCAACCCACCGTTAACTTCATGACATTTAGCAACCTACCTTTCACTCCTTGACATCTAACAACACCAACAACACCCACACAACTACAGCCAATCCTTAGCTCACACATTAGCTTAAGCTCTGAGCTTACCTTCCACAGTCAGCAAAGTGACATCAACACACCCGGTGCCATCCAGCGCCCTACACCTACAAAACCCGCCCTGATCCATCGACTCCACCGCCACCCTCGCACAAACGGAAGTGGAGTTCGCGCCACCCACGACAACGGCCGGTGTGTTTTTGCAGGAGAATTCCATATCTGGCGTTGACTGGTCAGTCTCGGCCCCGCCCATGGTGCAGCAGAACTCGGCGGTAGAGCCCACAAATGCCAGGACATCTTGCGTCGTCATGCCTGGTGGTTGCCATAGAAACGAAACGTTTGTTTTTCACAGTTAGAAGTCTTTAATAAGGTTTTAGTTGTAGTAATGTTTGTATCGGTGGAATCTATCTTCTTTCTATCTATATATATAATTATCCTCATGTGGACCATAGAAAATATCACACAGCTTAGCCACCACCCTCATCCCCACTTGTCAAGTGAGCTGTGGTTCATCCTGAATGTTTACAATAGTAGAGCCGATTCGGTTCGAATAAGTGACGGCTATTAGGGGCAGATAATTTAGTTTTTAAACGATTTGAAACTAAGGGGAGATATTGAGTTTTGCTTGATATTTTCATTGTCGTCTGTAAACAGCTACTTTCACTGGGCGGGGTGGGGGAGGCAGGGAGGGTAGTGTCGAATTCACAAATTATAAATAGTTGATAAGTAGAAAATAAAACAACTAGATAACGGCGTATGCTACGTTGCGGGTCAGCTCGTATATACATATATATATATATATATATATATATATATATATATATATATATATATATATATATATATATATATTTATATATATATATATATATATATATATATATATATATATATATATATATATATATATATATATATATATATATATATATATATATATATATATATATACATATATATATATACATATATATATATATATATATATATATATATATATATATATATAATTCTCTTGATGGACACCATGACGCAGCACACCCTCCTCCCGCCCCCTCCCTTGCTCTCCAGGCATGCGTAACAGACCATATCGCTACCACCCCCACAACTAAATAACGGCGTATGTTCACTCATTTCTACCTCGTCAATTTGTTTTATAGATATGTCCAACTAGGATGATAAGGCATTAATTTTTCTAAAGTTTTTAACATCATTAAAATTAATTTGCTAATTAATTTCTAAACTTTAATAAATTATTTCAAAGTGGAGATTTGTAAACTAATGTCGTCTGCTTATGAACCTTGAACAGTCACTTCAACCCTCTAATGCCAGTGCTAACAGACTGAGTAGATTTTAAATTAAAGGGAGATAAAGATAATCTACGAGCGCATTATTACACTAGTAAACAATGGATAGAGTTTATCGAATAGATTCCATATAGAGGGAAATTTTTGAAAAAATAAAAAAAAATTGTAACTTTAATGATATCGGAGGCTGGGTAGGCCTATACTTGTTAATTGTGGTAAATATTGAATGGTGGTAAACATTTAATTGTGAAGATATTAAGTGGCCGTAAATATAAAATGGTGGTAAATATTTAATTGTGAAAATATTAAGTGGCCGTAAATATAAAATGGTGGTAGATTTTTACTGGTGGAGAATATTAAATGACGTTGAATATTACATGAAGTTAACTATTAAATGGCGGTAAATATTAAATTGTGATAAATATTAAATGCACGAAAATAGTAAATGGTGGTTAAAATAAAATGGTGGTAAATATTTAATGCTGGAAAATATTAAGCGGCTGTAAATATTAAATGGTGGTAAATATTACATGACGGTAAATATTAAATGATGGTAATTTTAATTGGGGATTAAACTTAAGCAGGCGACATAAAAAACATCGGCCCACTTTTCAGAGGCGTCACTTTGAAAGGTGTCACCCGGTGCAGAACGTAGCCGCCCGCCACCCCCATCCCCCATTGTCCCATCCCCCTATCGCCTTGTGACGCTACACCCACTTTTGACCTAATTACCTAAACACACAGGAAGGGTATTTCTAGTTAACGAGCTATCCGATTATACGAAAAAAATCGCAACAAATTATTTTTTTTTTAAACCTGTTGTATGCCACCAGTTTAAGCTGTAAGCTGCAAGTGTTTGATTTACATAAACGCTCTCGATAGAACAAAATAAAACATGTCATAAAAATGTGATTGTTGACCTTAATTAGAAAGCGGCTGAGACTAGAGTTAAACAAAAAATGTTGGAACAAGCGACAATTTTTCTCTCTGGCACAGAGATATAAAGAAAGGAAATTAAATAGTTAATTCAAGGTATTCGGGATAAGTAGAAGATCTTACATATAAGGTAGAAGAACTTACATATAAAGTAGAAGAACTTACATATAAGCTAGCAGAACTTACATATAAGGTAGAAGAACTTACATATAAAGTAGAAGAACTTACATATAAGCTAGCAGAACTTACATATAAGGTAGAAGAACTTACATATAAAGTAGAAGAACTTACATATAAGGTAGAAGAACTTACATATAAAGTAGAAGAAATTACATATAAGCTAGAAGAACTTACATATAAAGTAGAAGAACTTACATATAAGCTAGCAGAACTTACATATAAGGTAGAAGAACTTACATATAAAGTAGAAGAAATTACATATAAGCTAGAAGAACTTACATATAAAGTAGAAGAACTTACATATAAGCTAGCAGAACTTACATATCAGGTAGAAGAACTTACATATAAAGTAGAAGAAATTACATATAAGCTAGCAGAACTTACATATAAGGTAGAAGAACTTACATATAAAGTAGAAGAACTTACATATAAGCTAGCAGAACTTACATATAAGGTAGAAGAACTTACAAAGAAAGTAGAAGAACTTACATATAAGGTAGAAGAACTTACATATAAAGTAGAAGAAATTACATATAAGCTAGAAGAACTTACATATAAAGTAGATGAACTTACATATAAGCTAGCAGAACTTACATATAAGGTAGAAGAACTTACATATAAAGTAGAAGAAATTACATATAAGCTAGAAGAACTTACATATAAAGTAGAAGAACTTACATATAAGCTAGCAGAACTTACATATCAGGTAGAAGAACTTACATATAAAGTAGAAGAAATTACATATAAGCTAGAAGAACTTACATATAAGGTAGAAGATCTTACATATAAGGTAGAAGATCTTACATATAAGATAGAAGAACTTACATATATGGTAGAAGAACTTACATATAAAGTAGAAGAATTTACATATAAGCTAGAAGAACTTACATATAAGGTAGAAGATCTTACATATAAGGTAGAAGATCTTACATATAAGGTAGAAGAACTTACATATAAGGTAGAAGAACTTACATATAAAGTAGAAGAACTTACATATAAGCTAGAAGAACTTACATATAAGGTAGAAGATCTTACATAAAGGTAGAAAAACGTACATATAAGGTAGAAGATCTTACACATAAGATAAAGAACTTACATATGACTTTCCCATCACGACACAAAGGCCTAGAACAACAAACGACCGCCTTGAAAAAACACAACAAACAAATCAGAGCTAGCGTCAACATGGTGACAATGTTCAGACACCATTTTTACTCCATGACCGTGCCACTGCCGGACAACTAATGCAACGATCGTCAGCAACGATGCCATGCTTGAATGAACTTTAACAGCAAGAGGGGGGGGGGTCACATTATTGGTGATTACCGAACTAATGTTAATGGGCGGCGTTGATTCCTGCTTGGGACGATATTAACATAAACTACGCGCTGACGTCAGAGCCTTTCTTTAGATTGAACAAAGGATAACAAAGTCGGTAGTCGATCAAGGGTTGCAGTGTTCGTCATTGTAAACAGGTGATCACACGTTTTGCGATTGAAAAAAAACGTTCGTAGAGTCAATCTTGATGTTCGAGTGGGTGTTTTAAAGAATGGATTTTTATAACAATAAGAAAAGCCGTCGCTGTCTCTCGATACTCGAAAAACATATGTATCAGACCATAGGGCTCTATACTATGTCCCTGTATTCGAACATATGTATCAAACCTTAGGTCTCTATACTATGTCCCAGTATTCGAACATATGTATCAGACCTTAGGTCTCTATACTATGTCCCAGTATTCGAACATGTGTATCAGACCTTAAGTCTCTATACTATGTCCCATTATTCGAACATGGTGTCAAACCTTAAGTGTGTATCAGACCTTAGGTCTCTATACTTTGTCCCAAGATTCGAACATGTGTATCAAACCTTAGGTCTCTATACTATGTCCCAGTATTCGAACATATGTATCAAACCTTAGGGCTCTATACTATGTCCCAGTATTCGAACATGTGTATCAGACCTTAAGTCTCTATACTATGTCCCATTATTCGAACATGGTGTCAAACCTTAAGTCTCTATACTATGTCCCAGTATTCGAACATCGTGTCAAACCTTAGGTCTCTATACTATGTCCCGGTATTCGAACCTATGTATCAGACCCTAAGTCTCTATACTCGTCCCAGTATTCGAACCTATGTATCAGACCTTGGGGCTTTATACTATGTCCCAGTATTCGAACATGTGTATTAAACCTTATGTATCTATTCCAACATTTGTTTCAGACTTTAGGTCTCTATACCATGTCTCAATATTTGCACATTTGGAAGACTCTAAGTTTTAATTTCTGTTCCAATGCTCGAACATAATCCGACTTTAATCTCTATATTTTGTCCCAATACTCGAACAATATCTCAAAGACCCCCGTCTATATTCACAGCTCCAACACTCAAACAGTATCAAATTTTTACTCTCTCTCTCTGTCTCTCTCTCTCTCTACTATGCTCCAACACTCGAACAGTATCAAAATATTACTCTCTCTCTCTCTCTCTACTATGCTCCAACACTCGAACAGTATCAAAATATTACTCTCTCTCTCTCTCTCTCTCTCTCTCTCTACTATGCTCCAACACTTGAACAGTATCAAAATTTTACTCTTTCTACTATGCTCCAACACTCGAACAGTATCAAAATATTACTCTCTCTCTCTCTCTACTATGCTCCAACACTCGAACAGTATCAAAATATTACTCTCTCTCTCTCTCTCTACTATGCTCCAACACTTGAACAGTATCAAAATTTTACTCTTTCTACTATGCTCCAACACTCGAACAGTATCAAAATATTACTCTCTATACTATGCTCCAACACTCGAACAGTATCCAAATTTAACTCTCTCTACTATGCTCCAACACTCGAACACCGACGTTCTCCAACCTGCTACGACGTGTTACCCGCGCCGCTTGGGGTCCTACACGCGATCATCTGTCCCAACCAATCAAGCTACACATCCCAGGCAGTCCTGTATTATTGTCAACCCGTCTATTGTAACCTGTAGCCCGGGCTCCACGCAAGGTAACCGGTCTTTGTTTCGACACCCCCCCCCCCCCCAGGTGTTGTTTCGCCTGAGAGGGTACACACGGCAAGCGTGACGCGAGGGGGGGGGGGGGGCGGAACAGAGTATAGAGTATAGAGAACAGTAAAGAGAAAATTATTGACCGATTAACAGACATAAAACTTAAGACGTTTTGTAGCCGTTATAAGCCCAGTGATCAACATACGCAGACAAAGTTGGTAGTTGGGTTAGAGCCAGTTAGAGGTGAGATGGTTAGGTAAAAGTGGATAATTTTATTATATGGAGTGGAGGGGGGGTGACCCTCTGGTGGGGGCCGCTTGTAACATCTGGTGGTGAGGTAGGGTGGTGAGGTAGGGTGGTGAGGTTGTGGAGAGGTAGGGTGGTGAGGTAGGGTGGTGAGGTAGGGTGGTGAGGTAGGGTGGTGAGGTAGGGTGGTGAGGTAGGGTGGTGAGGTAGGGTGGTGAGGTAGGGTGGTGAGGTAGGGTGGTGAGGTAAGACAGCATGTGGTGACATAGAGCCGCTTTATTGTAGGAATCATATTAGATAAAACTGAATGTAACATACTAACAATTTCAACACCGCTGAGCATCGGTGTCTGCTTATTCATTTATTTCTTCTACTTCCTCGTTCTTCGTTCTACTGTTGGAAGGTATCCCCTCCAACATAAAGCCGTTGACTCCGATTTCAGTCTGAAATTTATTTATTTTTTATTTTTTATTTTCCGTAGCCTCATCTCCCGAGGATTCGAACTCAAGACTTTTATCGACTCGACCACGCCGACCCTTATTTAACATTACAATATAACAGGCGTATCGCGTAACAAACAATTTTTAAATTGTAGTTTTTAATTATAAATCAAACTATGGGATTGAATTACTACGCGCCGTATCCAAACCCAAATAACATAATGAATAAAAAAAACATGAACCGCCCTATAATATATGCACAATCTATAAATCAGACAAGGCTTTAAGACAAGCCTAACACAAACATGAACCAGCCTGTTGAACAACAAACCAGAGCTAAGAGAAGCGCAGCGGCCCGTGCGATTGACTGGTGTCTTTGGTGCAGACGTGAACTGGCTCACTCAGGCAGGGGGGGGGGGGGGGACTCTTGGACTGGTTCATTCAATATCTGGCCTACATCTCAACATATCAGTGAGGTTCGTCTTTAAGGGCCGGGTGCCATTAGCATATATTTTTTACAAGTAGGCCCGAGAAATGTTTGATGTCATTTGTCTTTAGGGGCAGAGTTCCACTGATATATATATATATATATATATATATATATATATATATATATATATATATATATATATATATATATATATATATATATATATAGGCCAATGTACACATACACATATATATATATATATATATATATATATATATATATATATATATATATATATATAGGCCAATGTACACATACATATATATATATATATATATATATATATATATATATATATATATATTATATACACACACATACACACACACACACATATATACATATATATATATATATATATATATATATATATATATATATATATATATATATATATATATATATATATATATATATATATATATATATATATATATATATATATATATATATATATATATATATATATACTATCTTCTGGGGAGGTGACACCACGAAGTGCCGCACCGGGTTACACCCGACCTAGTGACGCCACTGATTATATGTGTGTGTGAGCATGTGTGCGTGTGTGTGTGTGCGTGAGTGTGTTGTGCGTGCCAGCTCTATTTTATTTATACTGGAGAGAAAAGGGTGTTATATAAATGTGTTCTCAAAACTTTAGATTCTATAACAAAGGTTATAGATCTAAATCTCAGTAAAAAAAAAATCACGTCTTAAACCCGACTATACTGTACAGTGTATTCAAATTACCGAAGCTGTCATTTGATACATAATGACGTCAGAATATCCGGGAGTTTAAGAACTCTGACGATCGAGGCATAGCAAAGATCGATTCTTATCTACCACGTCATTAATCAATAGCCAGTTATTGCTGGAAATAGAACTTATGTTGATAAACATACGCTAGAGCGCAAAGTTTGAAATAAACTTCCTGATTGTGTTCAAAACATTGATACCGTGGTACGTATCGTGTAGGCTTCAATCACGTGACTCAGTTATCGAGTTTAAACTTTTATAAGGTGGGACTCTCATTTTGGACGATTTCTTTTTTACTTTCACGTATACGAAGTATGGAGAAAGTATTGTAATCGTGCAAAAAAAAAAATCGAGATTTTGACAATTTTTTAAAAATTTCCTATCGTTCAGAGAAATTTTAATAATTTACTATCGGTATTGATAAGTTAATGGCGCAACTTTATACAATTAATTAAAATTAAAATCTACTTCTGATTAACTAAGATGTTCTGTTAAAAAAAATCAAACTTGACACATTGTACCATAATACGTGTCATGCACAGATATTATTGATGTGGATTCTCTTTTAAAAACGTAATGCTACAATTTGACGTTCACTTGACTTTATAAAACAAAAAGATTACGCGCTCTATGTAAACTTAAATGGAGTTTTGAAGTAAAAAGATTCTTCTACAAAAAGTTGGTGGCTGCTGTTAAGTATCAAAGCAACTCAGAAGTCAAGCTGGAAACAAATTGACATGAATCAAATCACCGACAAAAGTCTGAAGGTTAGTTTCAACACAGTATCGAATTTTAATATAGATTTATTTTTTTTCTTTTATTTATTAGTGAGAGGCAATGTTAGGGGTAGGGGTCGGGACGGGAGTGGAAAAAGACGGATAAGCTACATTAAAATGTACCCTTACAAGGTAGCATTCAAAATAGGAAACATATACAGGAAAATACAGCAAAACAATACAAACATGGGAATTACGACGCACACAAATATAATTAACAACTAAGAGAATGAAATAAAAACGTGATGCAGTTTTAAATAGTTTCACTTTGTTGTTTTCGCTCGTGCATTTAAATTATTAAATTTCGTATTTTTAAATATCGATATGTAGGACAATCATTACTGTTTGTGTTGCACGAATACGTAAAGGCTAACAACATACTTTTTACCCCGAAAAGGAAAAGTTAGTTTTTTAAGAAAAAAAACAATTATGTTAATATCCGAATGCCACTGTCCACCTAGCTCTAATTAGTACATAACGTCACCATTCATCAAGACCTGACAGGTACATGACGTCAATGTCCACCCAGATTTGATGGGTACATGACGTCACTGTCCACCTCGCTAAAATGGGTACCTAACTCAAAATAAAACCTTATCTTCAAACCCGCTACTCATTGTGTTAACTACAATTCATATCCCGGTGACAAAAAGACAGATAAACTCTACTTCATCTCAGAGGCGTAGCTACCCTTCCCGGCGCCCGGGGACGAACTTCGATTTGCACCCCTCCCCCCCCCCTCAAACTTTCGATTTGCACCACCACCCCCCCCCCCCCTCAAACTTTCAATTTGTTTTTCCAACCCATTTTGGCACCCCCTAAGGTCGGCGCCCGGGGACATATGCCCACCCCGCCCCCCCTCCCGCTACGCCTCTGCTTCATCTATACAATGACCAGTCATGTCCTGACTTAAATGTTGACATATTCCCAGTGTTTTGATGGTTGTTGTATTTATATTTAACACCAGGAGCTGGAGAGGAAGCTGGAGGCTGAAAGGTTGGCCATGATGGACAAGCTGAGGGAAGATTTACAAGCTGTGAGGAGGTCTATGCTAGAGGAGGTGGATCAGATGAAGAAGGTGGGTATATGGGAGAGGTTGGTTTATGGGAGAGGTCGGTTTATGGGAGGTGCGTATTTGGGAGAGGTGGGTATATGGGAGAGGTGGGTTTATGGAAGGTGGGTATATGAGAGGTGGGTTTATGGGAGAGGTGGGTATATGGGAAAGGTGGTTATATGGGAGAGGTGGGTTTATTGGAGAGGTGGGTATGTGCAGAGGTGGGTTTATGGGAGAGGTGGGTATATGAGAGGTGGGTATATGGGAGAGGTGGGTATATGGGAAAGGTGGTTATATGGGAGGTGGGTATATATGGGAGAGGTGGGTTTATGGGAGAGGTGGGTATATGAGAGGTGGATATATGGGAGAGGTGGGTATATGAGAGGTGGGTATATGGGAGGTGGGTATATGGGAGAGGTGGGTATGTGCAGAGGTAGGTTTATGGGAGAGGTGGGTTTATGGGAGGTGGGTATATGGGAGAGGTGGGTTTATGGGAGAGGTGGGTTTATGGGAGTTGGGGATATGGGAGAGGTGGGTATGGGCAGAGGTTGGTATATGAGAGGTGGGTATATGGGAGAGGTAGGTATGGGAAGAGGTGGGTATATGGGAGAGGTGGGTATATGGGATAGGTGGGTATATGAGAGGTGGGTATATGGGATAGGTGGGTATATGGGAAAGGTGGGTATATGGGAGGTGGGTATATGGGAGAGGTGGGTATATGAGAGGTGGGTATATGGGAGGTGGGTATATGGGAGAGGTGGGTATGTGCAGAGGTGGGTTTATGGGAGAGGTGGGTATATGAGAGGTGGGTATATGGGAGAGGTGGGTGTATGGGAGGTGGGTATATGAGAGGTGGGTAAGGGGAGAGGTGGGTGTATGTGAGGTGGGTATATGAGAGGTGGGTATATGGGAGACGTGGTATAAGGTAGAGGTGGGTAAGGGTAGGTAAGAAGAGGTGGGTGAGACGGAATGTTTTTGAAGAGAGGTGGAAGGATAGAGGTGTGCTATATGTTTAAACACTACGTATACCATCTTTACAAAAGTTTTATATCCTAAACTAAACGAAAAGATCCTTGTAAGTTAAAATATATAATGCCCATAACATGTCTGTGAATAATTGAATTCACTCAACACAACACGTAGGTGATCAAAAGCGACTACGTGAACGTGGCGAATCTAAAGCTGAAGAATGAGCAGATGCGTCATGAAGTTGAAAAATTCCAGAAGATTCTAAGAATTCCCCCCTCTAGGGAAAGCACCAGCACGTACAGGTCACTGACCCCAGCGTCACAGTCCCGAAATGAGGATCGGCCAATCAGAAGTAGGGCGTCACATCCGGGCAAGTTTGTAAGGCAAGAAAAAGTGGAACGCTTGAATTCTGGGCAACGGAGAAAAATATCCGTGGACAATTTTAGTTCTCTGGGTAAACTGCAGGCGGGGGTGTCCCCGTGCGAAAATATGGTGCCGATTAAACTAGTGGAATCTACTGATAAAACCAAAATTTCCACGAAGCTACAGGCAGGGGCGCCTTCATGTACAAATACGGTGCCAATAAAACAACAGGCAGAAACGTCTACAGAAAAAAACAAAATCACCACAAAATTACTGTCATGGCTGTCTACAATTGAGACCACACCACCACCACCACCACACCAAAAAACAAAAACGTATTCAATTATAACCAAAATGTCTCTCTACAAAAAGCCTCCACCCAAAAAGTCTTCTGCCCGTTGGTCGTCCATGCCCTCCTTAAGACCCGAACGATCTCCCGCAGACGTGTTGACCGGGGCAGACGTTTGTGCCCCGTCCCCGGGCATCGATGTGTCTGTTGTACAGCAGACTAAAATAGCAGACAACAGGAAACCAATTCTCCCGCCAATTTCATTCGATTCTGTTGGGGGCTGGAACGAGGAGGGTACGACAAGAACTCCAACACATGGGCTTACAGAGAGAGGTTCTGTTTGGGGCTGTAACGTGGAGGATACGGCAAGAACTCCAACACATGGGCTCACAGAGAGAGGTTCTGTTGGGGGCTGGAACGTTGAGGATACGACCAGAACTCCAACACATGGGCTCACAGATAGAGGTTCTGCTGGGGGCTCTAACGTGGAGGGTACGGCAACAACTCCAACACATGGGCTCACAGACAGAGGTTCTGTTGGGGGCTGGAACGTGGAGGGTACGGCAACAACTCCAACATATGGACTCACAGAGAGAGGTTCTGTTGGGGGCTGGAACGTGGAGGGTACGGCAACAACTCCAACACATGGGCTCACAGAGAGAGGTTCTGTTGGGGGCTCTAACGTGGACGGTACGGCAAGAACTCCAACACATGGGCTCACAGAGAGAGGTTCTGTTGGGGGCTCTAACGTGGAGGGTACGACAACAACTCCAACACATGGACTCACAGAGAGAGGTTCTGTTGGGGGCTCTAACGTGGAGGGTACGACAACAACTCCAACACATGGACTCACAGAGAGAGGTTCTGTTGGGGGCTCTAACGTGGAAGGTACGGCAAGAACTCCAACACATGGGCTCACAGAGAGAGGTTCTGTTGGGGGCTGGAACGTGGAGGGTACGGCAACAACTCCAACACATGGGCTCACAGAGAGAGGTTCTGTTGGGGGCTCTAACGTGGAGGGTACGGCAACAACTCCAACACATGGGCTCACAGAGAGAGGTTCTGTTGGGGGCTCTAATGTGGAAGGTACGGCAAGAACTCCAACACATGGGCTCACAGAGAGAGGTTCTGTTTGGGGCTGTAACGTGGAGGGTACGGCAAGAACTCCAACACATGGGCTCACAGAGAGAGGTTCTGTTGGGGGCTCTAACGTGGAGGGTACGGCAACAACTCCAACACATGGACTCACAGAGAGAGGTTCTGTTGGGGGCTCTAACGTGGAGGGTACGGCAACAACTCCAACACATGTGCTCACAGAGAGAGGTTCTGTTGGGGGCTGGAACGTGGAGGGTACGACAACAACTCCAACACATGGGCTCACAGAGAGAGGTTCTGTTGGGGGCTCTAACGTGGAGGGTACGGCAACAACTCCAACACATGGGCTCACAGAGAGAGGTTCTGTTGGGGGCTCTAACGTGGAGGGTACGGCAACAACTCCAACACATGGACTCACAGAGAGAGGTTCTGTGTTGAAAAGGTGAGATGTTTTGTTTCTTTTGGAGACGATGGACGGGGTGTTTCTCTTCTGTAAATACACTTTTTTTTAAATAAGTGCTCTTTCTGTAACACGCAGGGGGGGGGGTGTGGTCGAGTTAGTAAACTAATGGTTGCTAAACTCAAAAGTCCCGTATCGAACCCGCTGAGCAGATGAAGCTCGATTGCTGGGGACACCAACCCATCTAGGAGAGACAACTCCAAATTCAAACAACTGCTGCCTTGTTGTTTGTTCTTGGTTGGAAGCAAAGTCTAAAATCGGAGTCAACGACCTATATGTCGTAAAACAAGGCGGCACGTACTACGTAATTATTTTTGATGAAATCTCTTCCAACATTACAATTAAGAACAAAGGTTAACTAGCGATGTAAGAAACACATATTTTTTTTAAAAAAACAGTGTAGTACCTTATAGTGCAGCTAGTAAAATGCCATTGATATAAATAACTGAATAAATTTAAACAAAACGAAAACACGTGTTTCTGCCACAGGTAACTCAAGAGTAAAGATGATCAGCCAGGACAGCGGTAGTCTACAGTGCTCACTGGGACAGGTTGGTTACATTGTCAAATGTTCTACTTGTCAGGGTTTCTTTTAGACATTGTTCTCCCCTAGTGGGGAGGCACTTGAAACTTCCGGGGGGGGGCACTTGTAAATTTTGATAGAAGTGGTTAATAGTGAGTAGTTACTTTCCCGGTATTTGTCTTCGTCGTCCCCCCCCCCCCCACACCACCACCTCTAGTGATGCCTGATTGAAACACTGACTTAACTTTGCAAGTTAGTTAGATCATTATGAGATGACTACTGTATTTGTACAGTAACCACACATATTTATTTTTTATTTATTTTATTTATTTTTCTTTTCAAGCTTAGTGTGTAAGCGAAGCTTGTGGCCGGGAATGCTGGCTGAATTAGATATTGAAGCTATGCTGCTATGGGCTGATATAATCAAAAGACTCGGATTGGATCCGTTGTCGTAAAGCATCTATAGAGGAAGATTGGACATTCAGATATAAGACTAGACCCTTCGTCCTATGTTTATAAAACGGCTAAGAATGTTAAAGACACCAAAGTTATAATTTGGCGGAGAAAAAACATATTCTATATTTATAATAGTTTTATAAATGACGCAAAATAAAAATTATTTTAAAAATTTGCCTACGATTAGGATACAGTATATTCATGTATATTCGTTGTCGTATGTATATTTTATGTGTTGTGTATGTTTTGTTTGTCAAAAGTGAATAAGCTGAACAGGTATTTTTTATTTGTTATGTAGCGTGCTGTGTGGAGAATGTTTTGTATGTGTTGTGTATGAGTCGTATGAGTGGTGTATGTGTGGTTTATTTGTATATGTTGTGTATGAGTGGTGTATGTATGGTATGCGTGGCCTTGTTTTTCGTTACCTCCCTCTGGGTCACTGTGGAATGTCACTGACCTACCCCCCCCCCTTACTCAGTTACTTCCTCTGTGGTCAGTGTACTGTCACCTCTAACCTTTTGACACGAATGTACCCATGCCATGCCGCCTGTGGCACGCAGGACGCTACCCACTAGACTAAACCTTCACGGAACAATTCACCAACCAGGAGTTACTCTGAGTTCCAACACTACAGGTAAGGTGGTGCTGGTCGTTCAGAGTTCCAACACTACAGGTAAGGTGGTGCTGGTCGCTCAGAGTTCCAACACTACAGGTAAGGTGGTGCTGGTCGCTCAGAGTTCCAACACTACAGGTAAGGTGGTGCTGGTCGCTCAGAGTTCCAACACTACAGGTAAGGTGGTGCTGGTCGCTCAGAGTTCCAACACTACAGGTAAGGTGGTGCTGGTCGCTCAGAGTTCCAACACTACAGGTAAGGTGGTGCTGGTCGCTCAGAGTTCCAACACTACAGGTAAGGTGGTGCTGGTCGCTCAGAGTTCCAACACTACAGGTAAGGTGGTGCTGGTCGCTCAGAGTTCCAACACTACAGGTAAGGTGGTGCTGGTCGCTCAGAGTTCCAAAACTACAGGTAAGGTGGTGCTGGTCGTTCAGAGTTCCAACACTACAGGTAAGGTGGTGCTGGTCGCTCAGAGTTCCAACACTACAGGTAAGGTGGTGCTGGTCGCTCAGAGTTCCAACACTACAGGTAAGGTGGTGCTGGTCGCTCAGAGTTCCAACACTACAGGTAAGGTGGTGCTGGTCGTTCAGAGTTCCAACACTACAGGTAAGGTGGTGCTGGTCGCTCAGAGTTCCAACACTACAGGTAAGGTGGTGCTGGTCGCTCAGAGTTCCAACACTACAGGTAAGGTGGTGCTGGTCGCTCAGAGTTCCAACACTACAGGTAAGGTGGTGCTGGTCGCTCAGAGTTCCAAAACTACAGGTAAGGTGGTGCTGGTCGCTCAGATTACCTGGACGAGTTGAACCAAAGGTGTCGTTTGTACAATGTCGCGGTTGTGTTCATGAAATATCTTCACACTACAGTGATAAAGTTTTATCAAGAATATTTTTTTTATCATTCTAGTTTTTTTTTCACGGATTGGCCTTGCGGTAGAGAGCTAGGCTGCTAACCAGTGTGTCTCGAGTTTGAATTCGGGTTTAAGTTAGTAGACCGTCCCTAAGTCCACCCAACTCTGATGGGTACCTAACCCTCACGTTAGGGAAAGTAAATGCGGCTGGGCATAGCGCTGACCACACTATCCCTTCATATGCCGAGGTCACAGAAACAAGTGAACTCTACTTCACTTGCTCCATAGACCACCAGGTTTGAAAGGGGAACTTTACTTACTACTTTTTGTCGAAGTGTTTTGCTCCTTTGTGTTATATTTTTGCAGTGTTGTTTATATACAGGCAATCGAATGCTCTAAATTGCTAAACAGCACAAGAAAAAAAACAGAAATGTTAAGTTTCAGTAGTTCGCAGAATACAAAATACGGTTTACATTTTTTTATTGCGTGCAAAAAAAAGACAAAACAATTCAAATCATAAAGTTATCCCTGAAAGAAAAGCATGTGCTCCCTTATAGTTGAACGGAAATTTTGTACAAATGCACGTTTTATTAAGAAATTTCCCAACAGCAAATCCACCACTTGATGATTAAAGAAGCTGCAGGCAACGAATAATAACCACCGCTTTGTATCTCACACGGGAAAAGTACCTTTTTTTTTTAAATTTAAACTCATGAAAAAAAAACTTGACGGAATAGTTCAGAATTCACAAGCCACGTTTCCGTGAACGATTTCCGACGCCATGTAGGCCAGCATCCGACGGTTGACCCGCCCCTTGTGCATGGGAAACTCCTCGAAGAAGAAGACGTAGGTGGGCATGTGGGGGTTGTCGTCGTCGTCGTAGGTCCCGCCCAGCTGGTAGCGGCAAAACTCTTTCACGCGCTCGATCGTCACGGAGTCGTCCTTCCGGGGGATCACGCATGCGCACATCTGGAAGTAGCAAACAACGGGAAGGGGGAGGGGAGGTTGGTATTTAACAATAAGTACCCATCCAGGTAAATAAAACAAAAATTTCGTTCACTAAAATCGTATTAGTGAAAGAATGTGTTTAGAATGACGACGCGAGTCATAGGACATAAAACGACAGCACTCTCCTTTGTAGTTATGACTGTGTTAGGACTTTCGCGACGATAAGGAGGGGTGGGGAGTGGGGGGATGGGAGAGAAAGTGTGACGTCATAAACATGCATTTTTAAAAGCCTTTTTTAAAACACATTTTTATGTTGCATGCTTAAATTACATTTTGTAATAAAGAAATAGATCAATATATTATTAACTGTGCTAGTTCAATGTACAATGTTGAAAGAAAACGCAGTTTTAAAAATCAAAACAGCAAAATGTAAAAAATAGAGGGGGGGAAGTGTTGCGTCGTTTTAAGAGGAGGCTGACTTTTTGCTACGATGAGTGAAGATTGATGGGGGAGGGGAGGGAATTGAAATCGGCCATTAATATCGTGACGCCATTCACAAAGGACAAAGTGGGAACTTAAAGCATAACCACATCTCCCCACGAAGATAGGTTTAGGTACAGCTTAAGGGTCAGAGTAAGGTTTAGGTACCGGTCAAGGGGTTGGGGTTAGGTTTAGGTACCGGTCAAGGTGTTGGGGTTAGGTGTAGGTACCGGTCAAGGGGTTGGGGTTAGGTGTAGGTACCGGTCAAGGGGTTGGGGTTAGGTTTAGGTACCGGTCAAGGGGTTGGGGTTAGGTTTAGGTACCGGTCAAGGGGTTGGGGTTAGGTTTACGTACCGGTCAAAGGGTTGGGGTTAGGTGTAGGTACCGGTCAAGGTGTTGGGGTTAGGTTTAGGTACCGGTCAAAGGGTTGGGGTTAGGTGTAGGTACCGGTCAAAGGGTTGGGGTTAGGTTTAGGTACCGGTCAAAGGGTTGGGGTTAGGTGTAGGTACCGGTCAAAGGGTTGGGGTTAGGTTTAGGTACCGGTCAAAGGGTTGGGGTTAGGTGTAGGTACCGGTTAAAGGGTTGGGGTTAGGTTTAGGTACCGGTCAAGGTGTTGGGGTTAGGTGTAGGTACCGGTCAAAGGGTTGGGGTTAGGTTTAGGTACCGGTCAAGGTGTTGGGGTTAGGTGTAGGTACAGGTTAAAGGGTTGGGGTTAGGTTTAGGTACCGGTCAAGGTGTTGGGGTTAGGTGTAGGTACCGGTCAAGGGGTTGGGGTTAGGTGTAGGTACCGGTCAAGGGGTTGGGGTTAGGTTTAGGTACCGGTCAAGGGGTTGGGGTTAGGTTTAGGTACCGGTCAAGGGGTTGGGGTTAGGTTTACGTACCGGTCAAAGGGTTGGGGTTAGGTGTAGGTACCGGTCAAGGTGTTGGGGTTAGGTTTAGGTACCGGTCAAAGGGTTGGGGTTAGGTGTAGGTACCGGTCAAAGGGTTGGGGTTAGGTTTAGGTACCGGTCAAAGGGTTGGGGTTAGGTGTAGGTACCGGTCAAAGGGTTGGGGTTAGGTTTAGGTACCGGTCAAAGGGTTGGGGTTAGGTGTAGGTACCGGTTAAAGGGTTGGGGTTAGGTTTAGGTACCGGTCAAGGTGTTGGGGTTAGGTGTAGGTACCGGTCAAAGGGTTGGGGTTAGGTTTAGGTACCGGTCAAGGTGTTGGGGTTAGGTGTAGGTACAGGTTAAAGGGTTGGGGTTAGGTTTAGGTACCGGTCAAGGTGTTGGGGTTAGGTTTAGGTACCGGTCAAGGTGTTGGGGTTAGGTGAAGGTACAGGTTGAAGTATTGGTGTTTGGTGTTTTGGATAAAGTATGTCTTACCTGCACGACATTTTTATAATCTTTGATCGAAACGACCTTGACCTTCCAAATCCCAGGGCACTGGTTGACCTTCTCCTCGATGTCACGTGGGAATATGGCCGTTTCCCCGCGAATAATGGCGTCGACCTTCCTCCCCAACACAAACAGCTGGTCTGTAGCAGGTCAGGGATATAAAAATTGATTGTTAAAAAAAAACCACGCAACACATATATGTGCCGATCCGTCCAACTCTACTCATTGTTCTAACCATTACAACTGCCGTATTTCAACTCAACTGTGCTCATTGTTCTAACCATTACAACTGCCGTATTTCAACACAACTCTACTCATTGTTCTAACCATTACAACTGCCGTATTTCAACACAACTCTACTCATTGTTCTAACAATTACAACTGCCGTATTTCAACACAACTCTACTCATTGTTCTAACCATTACTACTGCCGTATTTCAACACAACTCTACTCATTGTTCTAACCATTACAACTGCCGTATTTCAACACAACTCTACTCATTGTTCTAACCATTACTACTGCCGTATTTCAACACAACTCTACTCATTGTTCTAACAATTACAACTGCCGTATTTCAACACAACTCTACTCATTGTTCTAACCATTACAACTGCCGTATTTCAACACAACTCTACTCATTGTTCTAACCATTACAACTGCCGTATTTCAACTCAACTGTGCTCATTGTTCTAACCATTACAACTGCCGTATTTCAACACAACTCTACTCATTGTTCTAACCATTACAACTGCCGTATTTCAACACAACTCTACTCATTGTTCTAACCATTACAACTGCCGTATTTCAACACAACTCTACTCATTGTTCTAACCATTACTACTGCCGTATTTCAACACAACTCTACTCATTGTTCTAACCATTACTACTGCCGTATTTCAACACAACTCTACTCATTGTTCTAACCATTACAACAGCCTTAATTAAACTCAACTGTGCTCATTGTAAAAGCCCAGGTCCCCAGTCAGCAGATAGCCCTCCTCTGTGAACGTCATCTTGGTCAGGTTCGGGTCGTTAAAATATTCCTTACACACCAGTTTCCCTTGAAGCAGAATCTCGCCGATCTGAGGACAGTGGAACAAAAACACTTGAAGCTGGGGATTTTTTTATTTTTTTATTTTTTTTTTTGTTTTTGTCATTTACAATTAAAAGAATTGATAAACTTCAATAGAAAATGTTATGTAATTAGTAGTTAGTTATGTAATATGCTAAAACATTTTCAAGAAATAAAGGATATGATTTTGAGTACAATTTTAGTTATGTTTTCTTGACTAATTAAAAACAAGAAAGATGTAACATCGAAAAAAAAGGGTATTAAAATATGCAGGCTATGCTAAAGTCAGTTGGTCATAGGCTTTGAAGTCAACTAGGTTGTGAATTAGTTTACACAAGGTTTCGCGTTAATTTGTTGTTTTTTTTTAATTTCTGAGCTTGTTCCGTTTTAAAATAGAAATCGTGTAGACTCTAAGCTAATATGTGTGGATTTTAGTACTGAATATGGACTTTAAAATAGAAATATTTGAACAAAGGATGTTTACTTAGGCTTGGACAATGGACACTAAACCTATTTTAAGTTAAAACAACGGATGCTAACCAAGTTAACATTGAACAATGGACGCTAACCTAGTTAGTCTTGGACAATGGACGCTAACCTAGTTAGTCTTGGACAATGGACACTAACCTAGTTAGTCTAAGACAATGGTCGTTAACCTAGTTAGTCTTGGACAATGGACGCTAACCTAGTTAGTCTTGGACAATGGATACTAACCTAGTTAGTCTAAGACAATGGACGTTAACCTAGTTAGTCTTGGACAATGGACGCTAACCTAGTTAACATTCGACATAGGACGCCTACCTAGTTAGTCTTGGACAATGGACACTAAACCTATTTTAAGTTAAAACAACGGATGCTAACCAAGTTAACATTGAACAATGGACGCTAACCTAGTTAGTCTTGGACAATGGACGCTAACCTAGTTAGTCTTGGACAATGGACACTAACCTAGTTAGTCTAAGACAATGGTCGTTAACCTAGTTAGTCTTGGACAATGGACGCTAACCTAGTTAGTCTTGGACAATGGACACTAACCTAGTTAGTCTAAGACAATGAACGCTAACCTAGTTAGTCTTGGACAATGGACGCTAACCTAGTTAACATTTGACATAGGACGCCTACCTAGTTAGTCTTGGACCACAGACACCAACCTTGGTAGGTTTGGTCAACGAACACCAACCTTGGTAGGTTTAGCTGAACCTGGTCCCTCCGTGTCAAACCTCGTCCTGACGGGGTCAGTGAGGTCACCGACACAGCCCTCCGTGTAGCGGGTCTTGGTGGTGTCAGTCACCATCAGTCTAGACACCACACCGGCCTCTGTGGGGGAAACGTGTGGGGGATGTTAAACCAAGTTGCTAAAGTGTATGGGATGTTAAACCTATGTGTGGTTAGGTGTAAAAGTGTATGGGATGTTAAACCTAGGTGTGGTTAGGTGTAAAAGAGTATGGGATGTTAAACCTAGGTGTGATTAGGTGTTAGAGTGTGTGGGATGTTAAACCTAAGTGTGGTTAACCTAAGCGTGGTTAGATATTAGAGTGTATGTGATGTTAAACCTAGGTGTGGTTAGGTGATAGAGAAAAGTGTATGAGATGTTAAACCTACGTAACGTTAGGTGTTAGTTGTCGTTAGCTGCAGTTAATAAACAGTCAGCTGTCGTTGGTAGCAGTTTCACTAGATCTTTTCAGAGGTGTAGCGACCCTTCCCTGCGCCCGGGGACAAACTTTTCGATTTGCACCCCCCCCCCCTCAAACTTTCGATTTGCACCCCCCCCCACAAGATTTTGATTTGCCCCCTAAAGTCGGCGCCCGTGGACATATGTACCCCCCCCCCGCCTCACCCCCCCCCCCCCCCTACGCTACTGGATCTTTTTCTTTCTTTGATATGATCTCCTTTAACCTTTAACCAAAGCAAAGTGTGATGGTATGAAACAGGATCTTAGTTTGTAGTTTCTTCTTGTTGCACCAGTTGTGAGGGTGGGGATTTTTAAGATGCGAAACGAATGAATCCAATAACACACAGTTCATGTATAAAATCAAAATGTTCTTTATTCAAATGTATGTAATCAATTTTCTACCTAACTAATCTACACTGTACTACTTCTATCTGACTGTCCATACCACATGCTACCTACTACTACTAACTGTTCACTATACTACTAACTACGCACTCCCATGACCAATCCTAACACTAACTTTCTGTTCTCTACATAACTACGTCTGCTCCATTCTACAACCTAACACCTTCTGCCCTCGCTAGCTAATCATCAACTGCCGCTAATCTCTCTACTGACCCACGCCTCAGTGGTCAGCTGACCGTCCCACGTGACCGGTCAGTTCACGTATTTTTATTGGTCTATCTCTCTGACTAGTCTGACCAACTAGGCCTATAGTCTGTTTCTGCTAACCTATATTTGCTAAACATGTCTGACGTAATCTTGCGTCATCACACAAAGCGAAAACTGAAATTTTTGAACATCTCTGATGGAAAAAAAAACTATTTTTAACAAACCAATCAACGAGTAGCAGGTGACGATAGCGTCAGTGCACGGGCCAATGGCGTCCATGACGGACTGCCGGACGAAGCCGGTGGTGCTGAGGACTTTGAGCTTCCAGTGGGGCTCGGGAATATCTTCACAGTGGGAGGAGAGCATCTGGATCATGGAGGGCTGCAGGCTGGCGATGGTGCACTTCTCTTTCTCTATCAGGTCCCAGGTCTGTGCGTGCCAGTAGAAAGGACGGATGGGATTAGTGGTAGGTAAACTATTTTTAAACGAGTGATTTATTTTCTTTTCTTTGGGTAATCCTTTCAGAAACTTTTAAACCTGATCTCAGTTTGTAGTCACTCTAATTGGACAAACAAAACAATTTAACGTCAATCGTTAAACTTATGTGACCCACACAACGAACGAACCTCCATTATCCACACAATGACTGTATCTCTCTGACCCACACAACGACCATACCTGACCCACACAACGACCATACCTGACCCACACAACGACCATACCTGACACACACAACGACCATACCTGACCCACACAACGACCATACCTCACTGACCCACACAACGACCATACCTCACTGACCCACACAACGAATATACCTTTCTGACCCACACAACGACCATACCTCACTGACCCACACAACGACCATACCTGACCCACACAACGACCATACCTCACTGACCCACACAACGACTATACCTCACTGACCCACACAACGACCATACCTGACCCACACAACGACCATATCTGACCCACACAACAACCATACCTGACCCACACAACGACCATACCTCACTGACCCACACAACGACCAAACCTCCCTGACCCATACAACGACCATACCTGACCCACACAACGACCATACCTGACCCACACAACGACCATACCTGACTCACACAACGACCATACCTGACCCACACAACGACCATATCTGACCCACACAACGACCATACCTGACCCACACAACGACCATATCTGACCCACACAACGACCATACCTGACCCACACAACGACCATACCTGACCCACACAACGACCATATCTGACCCACACAACGACCATACCTGACCCACACAACGACCATACCTGACCCACACAACGACCATACCTGACCCAGACAACGACCATACCTGACCCACACACGACCATACCTGACCCACACAACCACCATACCTCACTGACCCACACAACGACCATACCTGACCCACACAACGACCATACCTGACCCACACAACCACCATACCTCACTGACCCACACAACGACCATACCTGACCCATACAACGACCATACCTCACTGACCCACACAACTACCATTTTCTCTGACCCACACAACGACCATACCTGACCCACACAACGACCATACCTGACCCACACAACGACCATACCTGACCCAGACAACGACCATACCTGACCCACACACGACCATACCTGACCCACACAACCACCATACCTCACTGACCCACACAACGACCATACCTGACCCACACAACGACCATACCTGACCCACACAACCACCATACCTCACTGACCCACACAACGACCATACCTGACCCATACAACGACCATACCTCACTGACCCACACAACTACCATTTTCTCTGACCCACACAACGACCATACCTGACCCACACAACGACCATACCTCCCTGACGACCTTCTCCGCCGGACAGTCTGTCAGAGTGGACTTGACCATCGTACATCCGGTGCTGATGTAACAGAAGGGCAACCCGGTCAACCAGCTGACTGGCCAGTCGTTGTAAACTACGTCATCGGGTATGATGTTAAACATATCCTCGACCCTGTGAGCGATCTGACACAGCTGGGAGTGGTTACGTAACACCAGTTTGTAGTGCTCTGGGGAGATACATGGATCAAATGTTCTGGGGAGATACATGGATCAGATGTTCTGGGGAGATACATGGATCAAATGCTCTGGGGAGATACATGGATCAAATGTTCCGGGGAGATACATGGATCAAATGTTCTGGGGAGATACATGGATCAAATGTTCTGGGGAGATGCATATATCAAATGTTCTGGGGAGATACATGTATTAAATGTTCTGGGGAGATACATGGATCAAATGTTCCGGGGAGATATATGTATCAAATGTTCTGGGGAGATACATGTATCAAATGTTCTGGGGAGATACATGGATCAAATGTTCTGGGGAGATACATGGATCAAATGTTCTGGGGAGATACATGGATCAAATGTTCTGGGGAGATACATGGATCAAATGTTCTGGGGAGATACATGGATCAAATGTTCTGGGGAGATGCATATATCAAATGTTCTGGGGAGATACATGTATTAAATGTTCTGGGGAGATACATGGATCAAATGTTCCGGGGAGATATATGTATCAAATGTTCTGGGGAGATACATGTATTAAATGTTCTGGGGAGATACATGGATCAAATGTTCCGGGGAGATATATGTATCAAATGTTCTGGGGAGATACATGTATCAAATGTTCTGGGGAGATACATGTATCAAATGTTCTGGGGAGATACATGTATCAAATGTTCTGGGGAGATACATGTATCAAATGTTCTGGGGAGATACATGGATCAAATGTTCTGGGTAGATACATGGATCAAATATTCTGGGGAGATACATGTATTAAATGCTCTGGGGAGATACATGGATCAAATGTTCTGGTGAGATACAAGGTGAAATGCTCTGTAACACTACATCGGGAAAGGCGTTACTGATTGGTAGCTTCGGAAGACAAGTCTCTTCGCATTGGTTCCGAAATTATTTTGTACGGTATGGCGTTGTCAAGAGGACGGCTGCAGGACGTCATTGTGTCCACCCAGCTCTAAAGGGTGCCTGACTCACGTTAAGGAAGGTCAAGGCGGGTGGGAATAGACCTGACTACACTATCCCTTTATACGCCAGAGGACACAGGAAAAAAAGGATATTGAACGTATTTGTCCTTTTGACCGTCGATGGTCACTTTATTTAACACTCAATCACTGTAAATATTACCTGATTTATTTTTCAAGTTTAAAATGTGATAAAAAAGTCTTTTAAAAAAACGCTTAAAACAGACAACCGGCACCTATTCAATCAAAAGCTAAAAATTAATTTTTCATTAAATTTAAGAAAAAAAATCTGTGTACTTTGTAAAGGGCATTTGGCAACAAAGATGGCGGCTGGGTCATGTGAACAGAGGCGCTCCATAAACATCCCGCCGTGTTCTTTAATTAGCTCAAAGGCTGTCTTCACATTCTCATTCTGTAAAGTAAGATTTTTTTTTACCAGTTATAGAGTATGTGATGATATATTGTGTTATATTGTATTATTATACAACAGTTAACGCGTTTTCAAAACACTAGTCTTATTCAAAGATCAAATAGACGAGTCTATTTTCAAAGGAAAATAATATACCTTTTTGCTGATGTATGAAACGTCCATCTCGAAATTATGTCAAAATTGTCTACCTTGGAATGATGACTTAATTACCTACCTTGGAATACTGACTGAATTATCTACCTTTAGAATAATGATTGAATTACATACCTTAGAATTACCTACTTTAGAAACGATGTCTGAATTACATACCTTGGACTGATGACTGAATTACCTACCTTGGAAATATGACTGAGGTACCTACCTTAGGATGATGTCACAATTACCTACCTTGGAATGATGTCACAATTACCTACCTTAGAATTATGTCACAATTACCTACCTTGGAATGATGTCCCAATTACCTACCTTGGAATGATGTCACAATTACCTACCTTAGAATGATGTCACAATTACCTACCTTGGAATGATGTCCCAATTACCTACCTTGGAATGATGTCACAATTACCTACCTTAGAATGATGTCACAATTACCTACCTTAGAATGATGTCACAATTACCTACCTTAGAATTAGAATGATGTCACAATTACCTACCTTAGAATGATGTCCCAATTACCTACCTTGGAATGATGTCACAATTACCTACCTTAGAATGATGTCACAATTACCTACCTTGGAATGATGTCCCAATTACCTACCTTGGAATGATGTCACAACTACCTACCTTAGAATGATGTCACAATTACCTACCTTAGAATGATGTCACAATTACCTACCTTGGAATGATGTCCCAATTACCTACCTTGGAATGATGTCAAAATTACCTACCTTGGAATGATGTCACAATTACCTACCTTAGAATGATGTCACAATTACCTACCTTGGAATGATGTCATAAAATTACCTACCTTGGAATGATGTCACAATTACCTACCTTAGAATGATGTCATAAAATTACCTACCTTAGAATGGTGTCACAATTACCTACCTTAGAATGATGTCAAAATTACCTACCTTGGAATGATGTCACAATTACCTACCTTAGAATAATGTCACAATTACCTACCTTAGAATGATGTCACAATTACCTACCTTGGAATGGTGTCACAATTACCTACATTAGAATGATGACTGAGACCTACCTTGGAAATATTACGGCGTTACCTACCTTAGAATGATGTCACAATTACCTACCTTGGAATGATGTCAAAATTTCCTACCTTGGAATGATGTCACAATTACCTACCTTAGAATGATGTCCCAATTACCTACCTTGGAATGATGTCACAATTACCTACCTTAGAATAATGTCCCAATTACCTACCTTAGAATGATGTCACAATTACCTACCTTAGAATGAGGTCACAATTACCTACCTTAGAATAAGTCACAATTACCTACCTTGGAATGATGTCCCAATTACCTACCTTAGAATGATGTCACAATTACCTACCTTAGAATGATGTCACAATTACCTACCTTGGAATGATGTCACAATTACCTACCTTGGAATGATGTCCCAATTACCTACCTTAGAATGATGTCACAATTACCTACCTTAGAATGAGGTCACAATTACCTACCTTAGAATAAGTCACAATTACCTACCTTGGAATGATGTCCCAATTACCTACCTTAGAATGATTTCACAATTACCTACCTTGAATTATGTCACAATTACCTACCTTAGAATGATGTCACAATTACCTACCTTGAATTATGTCACAATTACCTACCTTGGAATGATGTCACAATTACCTACCTTAGAATGAGGTCACAATTACCTACCTTAGAATGAGGTCACAATTACCTACCTTAGAATGAGGTCACAATTACCTACCTTAGAATGGTGTCACAATTACCTACCTTAGAATTAGAATGATGTCACAATTACCTACCTTGGAATGATGTCACAATTACCTACCTAAGAATGATGTCACAATTACCTACCTTGGAATGATGTCACAATTACCTACCTAAGAATGATGTCACAATTACCTACCTAAGAATGATGTCACAATTACCTACCTTAGAATGAGGTCACAATTACCTACCTTAGAATGGTGTCACAATTACCTACCTTAGAATTAGAATGAGGTCACAATTACCTACCTTAGAATGGTGTCACAATTACCTACCTTAGAATTAGAATGATGTCACAATTACCTACCTTGGAATGATGTCACAATTACCTACCTAAGAATGATGTCACAATTACCTACCTAAGAATGATGTCACAATTACCTACCTTAGAATGAGGTCACAATTACCTACCTTAGAATGGTGTCACAATTAACTACCTTAGAATTAGAATGAGGTCACAATTACCTACCTTAGAATGGTGTCACAATTACCTACCTTAGAATTAGAATGATGTCACAATTACCTACCTTGGAATGATGTCACAATTACCTACCTTGGAATGATGTCACAATTACCTACCTTGGAATGATGTCACAATTACCTACCTTGGAATGATGTCACAATTACCTACGTTGGAATGATGTCACAATGACCTACCTTGGAATGGTGCTGTAATCGAAACTTAAAGACCTTATCCAGCAGAGGAACCTCCTCTATTGTTGACTTCTCAATGTCCGCCCCGCTGGGCCCAATGTCGTCCTGCAGCTGTTGTTAGCACAAACACAGAAACAGGATGTTATGTCTGGGAACATCAGCACATGCAGGGAGAGGAGGGGGGTCCTCCAAAAACGATGTTACACTCATAGCGGAAGGGTGGGGGTTAGAATTTTTGTGACGATTTGTGACGATTGGGGGTTAAAAGCGTGACGTCATTTATTTGTTGTTCCCCCCCCCCCCCCACCAGCTAAACCATATAGTGGGCTAACCCTAGATAGCAATAGGTGTCTTAGATTTCCAGTGTAAACTGGGGGGGGGGGGGGGGAGAATTATTTTAAAGTTTACACCAATAAGAACCCGATGCACATTGATTGTTCTCCTGAACGATTTGCCTCCCATGTTTTGCTGATCTGCTGATGAGTTCTTTCATGTGCAAATAAGCAACAGTGTTATTGACTGTATACAGCAAGACACAATGCTCCAGTCTAATCATTATGTTGGTCATGGGAGGGGGTGGAGGGGTTTGATGGAGGGGGAGCAGGGAGTTGAGACTACAGGGGGGGGGCGCTGATAGAATGATGTAGTGTATGTGTAATTATTTAAATTTTATGTATAAATGTTTGTTTAAATGTATGAACAATAATAATAACATGGCTCCATAGTCTAATATTGCGCATATCCAAATACAACGACTTCGCAGAGATATGAGAAGAGCAGGATTTTGCCCCATGTACCAGACCCCCCCCCCCCACACACACACCCTACTCTGATGGACCCAAGGGACAGGACGCTACCTGAACAGCTATAAATGAATGTATAGATCTATGTATAGATGTATGTCTAAATATATGTATAAATGTATTTATAAATGTATGTATAAATGTATGTATAGATGAATGTGTTATAAATGTATGTGTTAATATATGTACAAATGTATGTATAAGTATATCTATAGATGGATGTGTTACAAATGTATGTGTTAATATATGTACCAATGTATGTATAAATGTATGTACAAATGTATGTACAAATGTATGTACAAATGTATGTATAAATGTATGTATAAATGTATGTATAGATGTATGTATAAATGTATGTATAAATGTATGTATAAATGTATGTATAAAAGTATATATAAATGTATGTATAGATGTATGTATAGATGAATGTATATACAAATGTATGTGTTAATATATGTACAAATGTATGTATTAATGTATGTACAAATGTATGTACAAATGTATGTACAAATGTTTGTATAAATGTATGTATAGATGTATGTACAGATGTATGTATAGATGTATATCTACCATCTTCCATCCAGGCGAATCATCTGTGGGCTCCACGACAATATGGCGGACACCGGCCTGGTGAATGGGGGTCCAGAAATGGTGACCCACGTCATTGATGACGTCACCATGCATCACTACAGCACCTGTAGAGAGGGGGGGGGGAATGTCACATTCACATTCTCAACTTTTGAGTACAATGCCAAATTCGCACGTGAATTATGGAGGCATGTATACAGATCGGCAGGATTTCTCAAACATCCTGAGATCACTCAGTCCTAAGCAGTACCTGACTTACCAACCAGTTCTATGTCTCATGCAGGTTTTATTGAGCTGTAGAACTGGTTGGTGACCTACTTACCAGCCCTATTAATCAAAGCTTATTTTTGTTCTAAAAATAATTACCTTAAAATCTTAATTACAGAAAAATTTTCTTTATAATTCCACGTATATAATTCCCCTTATATAATTCCCCTTTTCATTGTGCGTACATAGTCATTAGAAGTATCGAAGTGAATATAGTTATAAAAACTAAAATTAGTTTAACTCAAACAATTCGACTTTCTTTCATACCCGCCATAAGGATAGCGAAGTTGACAACCTCGCGCTCCATGCTGCCCTGAAGTAGGTTGCAGACGATGTCGCCTTTCTTGACGCCATGGCTCCTCATCAGCGACGCGCATTTCATGGCCAGCAATTTGATTTCTTCATTTTTCAAACTCGTTCTCTCATCGTCGTCATCATAAAACACGATTCCCTCTAAAACAATATCAAACATAAAACTTGATTCCCTCTAAAACAATAAAAAACACGAAACACGATTCCCTCTAAAACAATATCAAACATAAAACACGATTCCTTCTAAAACAATATCAAACATAAAACACGATTCCCTCTAAAACAATAAAAAAAACAGTAAACACGATACCTTTTAAAAATGTTAAAAACATAAAACACTATAAATTATAAAACTGTGAATACAAGATTCCCACAAAATTATTTTAAAAAAAACAACATAAATCACGCTTTATTCTATAATAGTACAGACAGAAAACATTATTCCCTCTATAAAAAAAAACATAAAAGACAAATGATTCTAAAATAGTACAAACAGTGAAAACTATTCTCTCTAAAACAAACATCTTCATCTTTTTTTTTAACGAAAGATAACAATGTTCAGTATGTAGCCTACAATAATAATTACATCATCGCTAATTATAAGACAATTTCTTTGGAACATTTATAAAACAGCACATTTGAGTAACCCCCTCTATGTGATAGCTTTACCACAGTGTGGGTTCGGGGTTGGACGGTCCTCACTACTAGAACAAATATCTTGCCGGAGGGAGGGGGAGATGCTGGTGGCAATTAGTACTAGCCTCGTTCTGGTAAACTCTCCCAGATAAACCTCAGCTTGCCGGAGGGAGGGGGGGGGGGGGTTGGTGGCAATTAGTACTAGCCTCGTTCTGGTAAACTCTCCCAGATAAACCTCAGCTTGCCGGAGGGAGGGGGGGGTGGTGGCAATTAGTACTAGCCTCGTTCTGGTAAACTCTCCCAGATAAACCTCAGCTTGCTGGAGGGAGGGGGGGGGGGGGTTGGTGGCAATAAGAAACTGACCTCGTTCTGGTAAACTCTCCCAGATAAACCTCAGCTTGCCGGAGGGAGGGGGGGGGGGGGTTGGTGGCAATAAGAAACTGACCTCGTTCTGGTAAACTCTCCCAGATAAACCTCAGCTTGCCGGAGGGAGGAGGGGGGTTGGTGGCAATAAGAAACTGACCTCGTTCTGGTAAACTCTCCCAGATAAACCTCAGCTTGCCGGAGGGAGGGGGGGGGGGTGGCAATTAGTACTAGCCTCGTTCTGGTAAACTCTCCCAGATAAACCTCAGCTTGCCGGAGGGAGGAGGGGGGTTGGTGGCAATAAGAAACTGACCTCGCTCTGGTAAACTCTCCCAGATAAACCTCAGCTTGCCGGAGGGAGGAGGGGGGTTGGTGGCAATAAGAAACTGACCTCGTTCTGGTAAACTCTCCCAGATAAACCTCAGCTTGCCGGAGGGAGGAGGGGGGTTGGTGGCAATAAGAAACTGACCTCGTTCTGGTAAACTCTCCCAGATAAACCTCAGCTTGCCGGAGGGAGGGGGGGGGGGTGGCAATTAGTACTAGCCTCGTTCTGGTAAACTCTCCCAGATAAACCTCAGCTTGCCGGAGGGAGGAGGGGGGTTGGTGGCAATAAGAAACTGACCTCGCTCTGGTAAACTCTCCCAGATAAACCTCAGCTTGCCGGAGGGAGGGGGGGGGGGGTTGGTGGCAATAAGAAACTGACCTCGTTCTGGTAAACTCTCCCAGATAAACCTCAGCTTGCCGGAGGGAGGGGGGGGGGTGGCAATTAGTACTAGCCTCGTTCTGGTAAACTCTCCCAGATAAACCTCAGCTTGCCGGAGGGAGGAGGGGGGTTGGTGGCAATAAGAAACTGACCTCGCTCTGGTAAACTCTCCCAGATAAACCTCAGCTTGCCGGAGGGAGGAGGGGGGTTGGTGGCAATAAGAAACTGACCTCGTTCTGGTAAACTCTCCCAGATAAACCTCAGCTTGCCGGAGGGAGGGGGGGTGCTGGTGGCAATAAGAAACTGACCTCGTTCTGGTAAACTCTCCCAGATAAACCTCAGCTTGCCGTTGACCGTTCTGTAGTTGAGCTCAGGACGGGGGTCAATGATTGGCTGGGTTAAAGCGTCGGAGTGACACAGCATCTGGGGGGGGGGGAGGAGGGGGTGATAGAGATTAGTGTACACAATTAAGTCAATGACAGATATTTGTGCATAAAATTTGGGGAATCAAAGAACGTGTGTACAAAATTAGGGGAATCACAGACATGTGATTTGTGTACAAAATTAGGATAATGACAGATATTTGTTTACAAAATTAGGATAATGATAGATATTCGTGTACAAAATTTAGACTTATGATAGATACGTGTCTACAAAAATTAGTTCATAACAGACATCTGTATACAAAATTAGGGGAATGACATTTGTTTTGGGATGGCCAATTAATAATGTACATTATGATATGACTGTATGTGTATATATATTTGTACATCGTGACATGATTTTATGTCACTTTGTATGTGTATTCTGGCGACAGGGGTCATTTTCACCTCCCCTCCTCCCTTCCATCACACATCGTCACAAAAAGCCAGACCCACCCCCCCCCTAAATTGACGTCACATCTCAGCCTACAACCCCCCCCCCCTCAATATTGCAGTTGAATTTTTTTTTAACATCGATATTTTTTCCAAAATCTTGTCTAAACTCTGTGAGAATAGAGTATTTTAATCAATTCCTATTACTATTTATTAAAACAGGTTTCTAAAATAACGTCTAAAATTCGTTTTCTAACATTGCTTTTTTATAATGCAAAAATGTGACGTCGCACCATCTGAACCCCTCCCCCTCATCACACACCGTCACAAAATTACGGACCCACCATCTTCCCCCCCCCCCCTTTAAGAGTGTGACGTCATTTATGGACGACCCCACAGTTGGAGAAACTAGCAAACGACAGAGACGCCTGGAAAGCTCTTGTCAGCTGCCTTTGTCACGGGGGGGGGGGGGGGGGGGGAGGACAGGCTAACCCAACCTAACCTTGTATGTGTATATATACGTGTAAATCGTGACATGATTGTATCTGTATGTAGTCTACATATTATATTTGATCTAGACGTCTAGTTTATGTTACAGGCGTGTTGCGATCAAGTTTCTTTAAAATAAGACATACCATTTTTGCGGAGTTTTTTTTTTTTATATTATCAAGAACTAGATCTAGAATGTAGACTACTTTGTTGAGAAAAGTTAGATTTTCTTTTTTTTTATTTGAACAGGAAGTTGAAAGCTGAGTTCACATAATGGTGGGTGATTTCCGGAAACTTGGAAAAGTTAATAGTATGACGTCATGGAAATATGATTGTGTGGAGAATTTTTTTTTTATAGCCGACACCTTATTTTTGTGTTTGAACAACTTTACATACAAAAGAATAGAACATTCTTGTTAAAATTAGTTCTTTTTTGAAACGACGAAACATATAATCGTCGTTATTTGAGGGAATTTTTTTTTTATCTAAAACGCTGACTAAAATTGTACAGTTATACTAGACTCTACTAGTGTACTCCAAGTGTTGGACGTGAGTTCACGAAAGGAAACTGGTGATAGCAAGGCATTTGCTATTGCCCCCCCCCCCCCCCCCACACACACACACATACACCTCCGGGACGAAATAGATGAAATATATAATTTAGAAAATGTATACTTTGAATCAATCTCCGCCCCTTTTAACCCCCCCCCCCCCCCGGTGAGAATTTCTGAAAGCAACACTGTATAATATCTGTACCAACTCTTGGCATGTCCGCTGTCCCACTCCAGCTTTAATCATTCCATGCTGCGTCAGCAGCAGGTTTCGAGACAGTAGAAACATCAGTTGCCCTTATGATTTCAGACATAATGTGTCCTTGTATTACATCCTTACAAAGATAGTAATTAGTAATAAGGGGGGGGGGGGGGTGTCCTTGTGTAAGTTCACGAGTTAAACTTGGTATTTGAATTCAAACCTACACTCAAAAATACATTTAACGTTCATGCTAAATGTATCCTTTTAACAGCATTGCTCGAGTTAAATTAAGCTTAATATGTAAATTAATCATGCAAAGTATGTAAATAAATTAGGGTACCTAAATTGAGAGCAAAACGAGAAATACCGACTTGTCCCTTAAGTGACTTTAGTCAGTACATTAACATTCATTCATTAGTGTTATAACCCTACAGAGTAGGGATTGACAAATAATAGACTATAAGAGCATAATCTATTACATTTGGCGACGTAACTAGCAAGGTGAACCATTCGAACCACAACGATTGAAAGTATATAGAAATTTATGGGTTTTGTTAAAATAATAATCCCTCTAAAATTAATTGACTTTAATTGAAAACAAATAACTATCGTTATAATTTCTATGTGCTTTATAAAAGATATAACAATAATGCCATAAAAAATTATCTGTTTTAAGTGTATCAAAGTAAAATTTATAAAACTATTATTTTTTAATTTAGTAAACATATAGTTGAGTTATGTCCCTTGATAAACAATGTTTCTTTTTATTGTAAACAGTAAAGCCGATGAACCGTGATCACAAATTTCCTCAAACCACTGGTACTCTAAAAACTATATGCCAATAATATAATGTCTCGAAATACTTTTAATAGTGCTATATTTACGGATAAAGAAAGGATTTGTAAGTAGGCTTACTCTGTCCTTTTTTTCTCCGATTTTTATTTATAGCATCACTTTGACTTGCTTCTTTTTTCGCGGGGTTTGTTTATGATGAATTTCAGCACTGGCTTGTGAACGCTGATAGATATACAATAATATTATTTTATTCTAACATGAAATTTTATTTAATAACCACGGTTTATACTATTTATACACAATGTTAAACGTGACGCGCTGCAATATTCTAAGAAAAGAAGGAAACATTATCCAGTTTTAATTTTAACATAAAATAAAGCGGGAGTGACCTCCCCTAAACTCGTGTATAGTTTTATAACACTAAGGGTGATGGTATTACCATTGCGATCGGGATATAGACATGTTTTTATTTTTTTTATTCTTAAAAAAGAAATGCGCTCCAAATGAACGCATACAATGTGTGGTTGATATCTAAACCTCATGGTAGAAAACAGGTTCAGATCAATTAATTTTTTTTTTCATTTCACATGTGATTTGTTAATGGTGATACGACGGTGTTCTCAAACTCATTGCTAAATATCACGTCATATTTGTTGATTTTTTTTTTAATTTTTTTTTGTTGTTTTTTTTAGTACATATTTATAACTGTTGTTTTAGTATTTCAACGTGTAAGCATACAAAATAAATCCAATACTTAATGCAGAAGCTAAGTGTACCTTTCCCAACCCCGGCGATGACCGAGTAGGTCTTACTTAAGGTCAAACAGTTTAACAGTGCTGTAGCTGTAGGTCAGGGCAGCAAACAGGACATCGTTAGGACCGATGGTGAACTTCCTCCTCAGCTGGGAGGCGAACTCCGGCAGCTACTTTCAGTTGGCCTGATCCATGGGTGTCGTCCCCCCCCCCCCACCCCCACCCCTCGAGGCATCTATATATATATAATTCTCTTCATGGGGACCATAGATTTACAATCATAGAGCCGGGTCGACTCTTAGGGGTAGGGGCAGATAATTTAGATTTAAAAAGGGGAGGTAATAACAATTTCTGCCATAACTATTCATTGTCTGTAAACTGTCGTCACGGACGGCTGCTTTCAAGGAGTTCGCGGGAGGGGTGGGGGTGAGGATAATCGTCTTTACCAGCTACTGGGAGTTTTTTAATGCAAAATATTTTCAGTCGCAGCATTGGTAGTGAATTATTGAAATACTGAAAAGTAGAAAATAAAACAACTAATCAGCGGCGTATGCTTACGGCGCGGGTCAGCTCGTAATATGTATAGTAAATCATCACATTTCGGGAGAATTACTTATCGAGGTCAGATTTAATTTAGCTGAATAACATTGTTAAACACATGTTCAAATACTAAAAATTGAATGGCTTTCTGCCATTGACAACATTTAACACGTAGTACTTAAGACCAAGCGATCCATTGGACAGATGAAGTAGAGTTCATATGGTTTTTGACCTCGGCATATGAAGGAAAGGTGTGTTCAGCACTTTGTCTAGCCGCCTTTACTTTCCTTAACATGAGTTTGGTACTCATCGGAGCTTTGTGGAGTTGCTACTGACTTGGACCCGGATTCAAACTTGAGACCTTCGAATTAGCATCCTAGCGCTCTAACGCTTACACCACGCCGTCTCACGGATAGAAACAGGAATAAAAGATGGTCACATGGCAACCATAGAGGCCATCCATTTATGACGTTCAATCAACTTCATATAATACGAGCATGTTGAATGTCGGAGTGGTCGAGTCGGTAAAGCTCATGGTTGCTAAACCGAAAAAGTCTCGAGTTCGAACCCTCGGGCAGATGAGGCTCGTTAGCTGGGGACAGCCACTCTTCTAGGAGAGACAACTCCAAAATGAAACAACTGCTGCCTTGTAGTTTGTTCTTGGTTGAACAAAGGCTATGGAAGCAAATCCAAAAAGAAAAGCAGGCTGAAATCGGAGTCAATGGCCTCAATGGCGCATAACCAGTTGACACGTAATCCTTAATTGTGATGGAAGCATGGTCGAGTCGGCAAAGCTCATGGTTGATAAATTCGAAAAAAGTCTCGAGTTCAAACCCTCTGGCAGATAAGGCTCGATCCCTCCCAACACTAAAAATTAAGAAAGAAGAAGAAGAAGAATGTTGTTACAAGATTGGTAAATAAAACTCAACGCAAAACGCTATTGAAGCTCATTTATTTTTTCACGACTTTACAAGAGTTATGGGTTATAAAGCGTTATTTAGCCTTTGTTTGAGGACCCAGAAGCACAGTGTTTGAAGGGACCCCCCTCAAACGCAATTAAGTATACGTGTCAACTGGTTAAGCGCCATTGAGGCCATCGACTCCGATTTCAGCCTGCTTTTCTTTTTGGATTTGTCTCCATAGTCCAGCCAATAACAAAATACAAGGCAGCAGTTTTTGACTTTGGAGTTGTCTCTCCTAGAAGAGCCTTAGCTTATCTGCCCGAGGGTTCGAATTCGAAACTTTTCGGGTCAGCAACCATGACCTTTACCCACTCGACCACGCCGACCCCACGTGGATGATCAAATGGACAATTTCAAATTTGCCGAGCATAGAACAACTTCAAATTAAAATTGTATCCGTTTATTTTTTAAACTAACTGTTTTTACGATGTTTTTCGCCGTTCAAATTCTCTATTTGAATTGCTGGAACAGTTACACTCTTCGAGAATGCGGTTACATTCACTAATACTCTAGCTTGTCTATACAAGGGTATGTCAACTAAAATAGATTACAATATTGTGTACAAGCAATACATTTATGTTTCTTACTGGTTTCTCTAGAGAATACAATTGATAATTAATGTATGCAGTTTTAAGTAAAACGTACGAGTCATCGTTTTCTGTTCGTGCCCAAGACAGGTGAAGTAGAGTTCATCTGCTTCAGATGACCTCGGCATATGGAGGGATAGTGTTGTCAGCACTATGCCCAGCCGCCTTTGTTTCCCTAACGTAAGTTGGGTACCCATCAGAGTTGGGTGGACTCATGGACATTACACTGACTTGAACCCGGGTACGAACTCGAGACTCGCGGGTTAGTTAGCAGTCTAGCACTCTACCGCTAGGCCACGCCGTCCCACAAAACTTACGTATAAAGTGTAAGTAAAGTTGTAAATCTGACTGTGGTCGTCAACAGAACAGTTGTCGTATTTGGTACGTGTTCAAATCCCACCAGTGCCACCTTGTTACATGACCAGAGTTTCTTCCAGGCATCTCTTCGGGGGCGGAGAAATGAAATTTACATAGAAAGTATATTCTTTTAACACTGTCCGCCCCCCCCCCCCTCCCTCCCCCGAAAATTTCAGGTGTTCCCCCCGGAGAAAAAAGTCTGGAAGAAACACTGTATCTGACTTAAACACAGTTCTCTGAGTTAACTTTGGTACTTATATTATAATAGACAGCATAGACGACACGACTTGTTTCTGGATCTATCTATAGTCACAGGTACACATCAGCTACACATCAACTACACGGTAAACACGTACTCATAATACACATTACAAGGGACGTAATCAATCACTAACAAGACATAACGAAAAGGTAAGTAACCGTAATACATTAACCTAATTAATAGTATAGATAATCAAATTCACCTTTAACTGAAACACACAAAAACTACACGATATTT